CTCTCTCTCTCTCTCTGTGTCTGTCTGTCTGTCTGTCTGTCTGTCTGTCTGTCTGTCTGTCTGTCTGTCTGTCTGTCCCACTCCCTCTCTCTCCTTCTCTTCGCTCTCTCCGCGACACATGCACATGCACATGCACATGCACATGCACATGCACATGCACATGCACATGCACATGCACATGCACATGCACATGCACACGCACATGCACATGGAGACACGCCTTCCAGACGAGAGGAGCCCGCGCGAGCCGCCCGAGAGCGAGACAGCACTCGCCGACGTCACACAAGAGGCGGGAGGGAGGGCGGTGAGCTAGGGCGGCCAGCTGTGCCGCCTCTCCCCTCAGGACGAGAGGAGCCTGTACATGCTGCTCGAGTACTATTATATATTATATTATATTATGTTATACTCAGGACGAGAGGAGCCTGTACATGCTGCTCGAGTACGTGCCTGGCGGAGAGCTCTTCTCCCACCTCCGCAAGGCGGCCGCCAGCTACACCGCCACCCCCCACACACAGAGGGGCGCCGCTCGGGCGTGTCGCGGACGTGTCGCGGACGTGTCGCGGACGTGTCCCCGTCCCTTAGGCCGCGCGCTTCTCCAACGAGGGCGCGCGCTTCTACGCCGCGCAGGCGACGACAGCGCCTGCACGGCCTCGGCTGCCTCTCGGCTGCCTCTCGGCTGCCTCTCGGCTGCCTCTCGGCTGCCTCTCGGCTGCCTCTCGGCTGCCTCTCGGCTGCCTCTCGGCTGCCTCTCGGCTGCCTCTCGGCTGCCTCTCGGCTGCCTCTCGGCTGCCTCTCGGCTGCCTCTCGGCTGCCTCTCGGCTGCTCGGCTGCCTCTCGGCTGCCTCTCGGCTGCATCTTTGCTGCCTCTTTGCTGCATCTTTGCTGCCTCTCGCGCAGGCCGTGATGGCGGTGCAGCACTTGCACGGGATCGGCGTCGTGTACCGCGACCTCAAGCCGGAGAACCTGCTGCTCGACGGGCGAGATCCGGCCGAGATCCGCCGAGATCCGCCGAGAGATCCGGCCGCACCTCCCCTCGCCTCCCTCCCTTCTCTCCTCGCCCTCGCCCGCGAGTCACCCGCCCCCGCTGCTCCGCCCCCGCTGCTCCGCCCCGCTGCTCAGGCGCGGCTTCCTCAAGCTGGTCGACTTCGGGTTCGCCAAGCGCGTGGCGGACCGCACCTGGACTCTCTGCGGCACGCCCGAGATCGCCCGAGATCGCCCGAGATCGCCCGAGAGGACCGCACCCGCACTCTGTGCGGCACGCGAGAGCACCTCGCACAGAGCACCTCGGGAGAGCTGTGCCTGCGGGGAGATCTCTGCAGCGGGTGAGGAGCCGAGCCTGCCTGCCGGTGGCTGCGTGTTGTGACTGCGTGCCTCTCTCCCTCCCTGTAGGCACGCCCGAGTACCTCGCGCCGGAGATCATCCAGTCCAAGGGGCGCGACTCTAGCCGAGATCTAGCCGAGATCTGGCCGAGATCTGGCCGAGATCTAGCCGGAGATCATCCAGTCCAGGGGGGGCGACGCAGCACTCGACGGCGCGCGCGGCTCACCGCTTTCTGTGAGTCCGGCGCCCCCTTTTCTTTCCCAGGCACAACTTTGCGGTCGACTGGTGGGCGCTCGGCATCGTCATCTACGAGATGCTGGCGGGCTGCCCCTAGATGCGACCCACCCACTCCTCCCGCAGGCGGTTGGCGGAGCGCTCGGAGTCGGCGGTGTCCGGCTCACAGGGGGGGTCGCACTCCCACCCCCTCCGGCGGTGCTCCTCCCCTCCCCCCCAGGCGGGCTACCCCCCCTTCTTTGACGACTCGCCCTTCGGCATTTACCAAAAGATCCTCGCGGGGAGGCGCGACACCATCTACAGGAGCCGCTCACCTCGGCTCGCATCGGCTCACCTCGGCTCTCCTCGGCTCCCCTCGGGCAGGCACGAGTGCCCGCGCCACTTTGAGCCCACCGCCAAGGAGCTGATTCGCAAGCTCCTCACCGCCGACCGCACAAAGCGCATCGGCAGCACGAAGAACGGCGGGGGCGCGGAGGAGATCAAGAAGCAAAAGTGGTACCGCGGGCTCAACTGGGCGGCGCTGTACAACAAGACCATGGAGCCGTACATTGCGCCGGACGTGTCCTCCAGCGACGACACTTCGCACTACGAGAAGTTTGCAGACTCGATCGAGGAGTCGGGTCCGCTCCTCGCCATTACCAAGGACACCGCTCTCTTTGGGTCGTTTACCGGGGCCTTCGGGTCCATTTAGCGGGAGCCACAGCTTCATTTTTGTATTAGTGTGCGCCCACCTATTTTCTTCAGACGTGATGTGTGTGATTAAAATGTCCTAGTTATACGAGCGTCATCTTGTAGTGAACAGGCCGAGTTTGCGGTTTGAGCGCCCAGCGCAGAGACCGACCGACCGCAGGGGGGGGGTCCGGGGTCGACGCGGGCCGCGGAAGACCGCAGACCGGACGGCCCGGAGGGGGGGTCCGGTCGGTCGCTCGGAGCGCAGACCGAGGGGGGGTCGGTCGGGTTGGCTCGAGGGTCACACACACCGCACACGCTCGCCGCAGCTGTGAATAAATTAGTATCTCGAAATACAGAGACCAAGCGCCCTCTCGCTCTCACTCCCCGTCTAATCACTCCTCGTCGATCGTCGTCCGAGTGGCGGCTGAGCTCGAGACACGAGACCGAGACGCTCAGGATTGGGTCGGAACACGAGCTGGTCCATGTCCACACTCTGGTCGTCGTCGTCCATACGATTAGCTTCGCCGGCGACACACTGTACCCGTTGACGAGCCGCTTGAGCGCGACCAGAGCTTGTACAAAGCGAGACGGCAAGCAGGACCAGGCCGCCTGCGACTGCGTAGATGCTCCACATATGTGTGGGGTCGGGCTTGCTCGGGCCTCGGCGAAGAAGTCTCCTTGGCGCTTGGCTGCGTAACTAGTTTTCATAGTGAAAACCGGCGATTTCGAAGCGCCCGTGGCGGCATGGCGAGAAGGAGGGAGAGAGAGCGTTTGAGGGGGCTCACGGCAAGGACACCGACCGAGGGGGGGGTCGGTCGTCACACCTCCCGCCGCCGAGAGAGCGACCGACCGGAGGGGGGGTCCGGTCCACCTCGGGGGCAGGCCACCGACCGGCGGGGGGGTCCCCACGAACAAGGGTGGGTGGGCATACAAAATGACGCTCGTATTTAAGGTCCTGACTTTCTGATGTTTTAATTTGAGCGCGTGCAGTTGTTGCATGTTGGGTTTAATTTGAACGGCGCCCGAGTTATCGCTTTCAGGCGCGTGTAAACGTACCGCGGCGGGGCAAGAACGGCTTTTGTTCGTACCATGGTTCGTACGTACGTGTGAGCCTGTCGAGGACTGGGGCTCCACTCGAGGTCATGTTCATAGATTCCAAAGCATTGTTAATAGCAAAGGGGGGAAAAGGTACCCTCGACCCTCACGCCTGCAACCCTCGCGCGACAGCACACCACTGCTCCGCACGAGACACCGTTGCAGGACCAACCCCAAAACGCGACAGCGCACACAATAGGGAGGGTGGGTGGGGAAGCAAAACAGGCCGTGTGGGGTGTGGGTGTCACGAGGACAGACGTCCACGAAGACGGTGGACGGACGCAAACTCCTTATCCGATTCACACTCACGGCTGTCCTACTGGTTATATAGAAAGTCGGCCGTCTGCGAGCCCCCGGCTCGCCGACGGCGAGAGAGATGCCACGAGGGGTCGCGGTGGCGTCCATCGCCAGGCTCCCTAGCTCAACCGACGACCCTTCGGGATCGACGGCCGATCGTCATGAGCCTGTCGAGGACTGGGGCTCCACTCGAGGTCATGTTCATAGATTCCAAAGCATTGTTAATAGCAAAGGGGGGAAAAGGTACCCTCGACCCTCACGCCTGCAACCCTCGCGCGACAGCACACCACTGCTCCGCACGAGACACCGTTGCAGGACCAACCCCCATCGCCATCCATCGTAGAACATGATCTCGAGCCCTGCCCCACAGCCCCTCAGCCACTACACCATCATAGTCACTCGCGCGAGCCGCTCGATGCGCGAGGCGAGATCGAGGCCGGCGTAGTGCTGCTGCATCGACCTCTCTCGCTCCTGCTCGTTCCAGCCGAAGATGCAGTCGATGTCTGTGATGGTAGCGCCCGTGACATCGCTCGTGTCCCGCGCCACCTTGTCCGAGAACCGTCGGTTCGAATGGTGGGCAAACTTGACGATCGGGTTGCCCGCCTCGTCCTCCTCAATCGCAAGCTCGAGGTCCTCCTCGTCGCGCTCGCGGAGGAGCTCGTACGCGAGCTTGAGCGCTTTCGTAGAATGGCTATATGACGAGCCAGTCTCTAGCGGAGTATCGGTGAGGCGCCCGCCGTCTGTCGCCCGGATGAGCGGGCCTTTGACGACGGCGGCGTACTGGGTGAGCCCCAGTCCCGCCAACCACTCGCTGGCAGCGCGGAGTCTGGCAGAACCCTTGGCTCCCCCAACGAGGTTGACGTACCGATCGCCCTCCTCGATGGTCGCCGCCCTCCTCTTCTGAGTCGCGGTGCGGCCAAGGTATTTGGCCGCTGGCCGGAGCGGGTGGTCACTCGGCAGCCGGCCGAGGGCCCCGACGAAGGTGTCGAAAGCGCCGTCTGGCAGGCTCGCCCCGACACGCAGCTGCACGACAGAGTAGTCCGGCCGCTCCACCTTGAAGCCGTCCACCGTGACCGTCTCGGTCGAGTGCCCCTGCACACGCCACAGATCCCGCACGGCAGACTCGAGGCTGAACTCAGAGGTGAGTGACGTGCCCACACAGTGAGCCCACCGGCCCTTCCCCTGGGCCGTCTTCGTGGACTCGAGGTGGGCGGCAACAGTCGTCCCCATCTCGGCACATCGCTCTGAGAGCGGGTTGACGATCCACACGTCGCAGGCGGCGACGCCGTGCTGGCGGCCCGTCGTCTCGCCGAGCCGCAACCCCATCATCACCTCAAGGAGGAACATGACGCGATGACTCGAGTAGACTGCCTCCGCCTTGGCGCCGGTGCAGCACGTCTTGAGCGTCTCGTCGAGAACGAGTCGAGCGAGCTTGCGCGTGGTGTGCGTGCACGGCTGCGCGAGCTCGCCGATCAGGCTGACCATCCTCGCGCGGAGCGCCTTCACCCGGGGGTCGGACATTATGCCGTTGGCGGTGGTCTTGGCGATGACTCCGCCCGCCGCCCTCAGGATCGTCTCGAACGAGCGAGCGCGGCCGGAGTCCATCGCGAGCCAGTTGATAAACTCGAGCATCGACTCGACACGGTAGCGGGGCAGGACGACGCCGCCGCCCATACTCGTAGCCCACACCTCCTCGAGACGGGTGAACTCCGCGTGGTTCTTCGACGTGGAGGACGCCTTGGTGCCCAGCTCGGCGAGCATCGTCCGAGCGGCGCGTCGGAGGACGAGGTCGGTGGGTGAGTGGCCGTCCGGCGTCATGGCTTCGGCCCTGCACACGGCACAGACGAGCTGTCCCGGCTCGACCTGGTATTTCGACAAGCCCGCGCACTCGCGGTGGAGCCCGTAGGAGCCGCAGCGTCCACAGATGTACTTGTCGCCTGTGGCACTGCACCCCCCTTGGAGGCACTTGAGCGCCGTCTCGACACGTCCGGCGCCCAGGACCGTCTCGAGGGACGCCTCCCTCCGGCTCACCGACTCGATGACAGCCGGAGCCTTCTCGTCGGCGGCTCGGCCGCATTCGTCACGGCCGGCGTGTACGAAGCCGGCGCCACGCGGCTCGATCTTGGCGCCCAGCCCAAACACAACTCCACAGCCCGCGCATGTCATGCCGCGGCTCTGGCAGTGCTGGACGGCGCCCGAGACCGACGGCTCTCGGTCCTTCGAGCTGGCAGCTGGAGCGGCGTTCGGCACGACGCGCCTCCGCGCCGCTGCTGCCTCGTCCGCTGAGGCACGAGCCAGCTTCAAGGCGTCGTCTGGAGAGTTGCCGCCCTCGTCGACCCGCAAGCCCCCAATCGCCTCGGCTAGCGTGGCGTCGCCGTCGGTCGGCGGGGTGGCACCGCCCGTGGCGCTCTGCGCCCGCCACCTCTCCAGCTGCTGCACGGCCGCCTTCCAATCGAAGGAGAAGCGGCCTACGACCCCGGCGCCCGAGGGATCCTCCCGAGTGACGAAGTCGTTGACGAGCCAGTAGTTGGCGAGGTCCGAACTGTTGTACTCCCATGGCGAGCGAGTCGAGCCGTCATAGTAGCTGCACCCGCCGCGCGCGCTGCCGTCCAGGAGCTCGAAGGTACGCAGCTTCCCGCGCACGCCCAAGAGCTCGGCCACTGCGATGGGCCATCCGCCGCGGTCGGGCTCGACCGCCGACGGGTCGAAGGTGGAGGCGACCTGGACGAGGTTGCCTCTCTCCGTCGACTTAGCCTTCGGCCCCGGAGGGCTCCAGAGGAACGAGCCGGCCATCATGACCTGTGGCCGGCCGCAAGGGAGGAGCGCCGGCGTCGCGCCTGACGCCCGGGGAAAAGACAGGATGAGCGTCGGGCGCCGGACTCGACAGCTGACGAATCTCCCCATCTGCTGCATCTCGACTACCCCCTCCCCCCGGGTCTGAGGGCCATCATCGACGGCATAGCGTCCCAATATTGAAAAATGGCGAAGCAGCCGAGACCAGCCTGCGTTTGGTGCGTCCGGTACCACCACGACTCCACTGATCCTCTGACCGCCCGCCTCTGAAAGTCGCTCCCCCACACGCCGCAGGGCGGAGCCCACCGTGCTGTGCGTGGGGTGCACCCAGAGGTGGGGAGGCGGCTTGCCGCCCGCGACTGTGGCGGCCAGCCCGCCACCGACGCACCCATCCTCACCACCTGGGGATTGGGGGCTGCCTCCACCCGGGCACTTGTGCTGCGCCCCGACCTCGGCGGCGGCGTGTCGCCTCTCGGCGCCCACGAACTCGGTGAAACGTCCCGTCAGGCGCTCGATGGCGGCGAACTCCGCCGCCGCTAGCCGCACCCGCGGCTCCTCGATGGGATCGCCTCTCGAGGTTTGGTCGGGCCGGTGGAGGAGCACGCCCGGCGTGTGGACGAAGCGGAGCTCGATGTCCCACCTCTCCGCCGTCTCGAGCAGCCGGCGCAGCGTCTCCTGCATCGACACCGCCGTCGACGCCTGGTTCTGCGCGGCGCCGATGGCGGCGGTGTTGTCGCCCTCGACCAGCACCGCGCTGCCCTGAAGCTGCTCGCCGTAGAACTGGACGACCCGGAGGATGCCGAACAGCTCTCGAGCGTTGATGGACCACGCCTGCTCGACCGGGCTGAACTGCAGCTGCACCTCGGCACGTTGGCCGTCGAGCCAGGCGAGCTGGCCTGTGCCCCAGTCGCTCGCGTCGGTACCTGTGATAGCGGCGATGGCGCGAGGCCGCCGGTCCAGATCGGTGCAGTTGCGCCGAGCCAGCATCGCCGACCACCACTCGAGGTCGCGGAAGAAGTCCGCGCTCAGCTCGATCTGGCGCCACGGAGAGCGAGGGGTGGGGCCGGGACGGCGACGCCGCTCAGGCGCTGGCGTCGCCACCCGCACCTTCCCACGTCTCCAGTCGACCTCGAGGCCCTGGAACTGCGAGAGCGTACCCTGCATATACGTCCGCCCGCCGGGGATGACCTGCGAGGCGAAGACCATATGGCCGAGAAGGCGAGCCAACTCGACCGGCTCCGCCTCGGCCGGCCGCCCGTCGAGTCGGCGCCTCGACAGCCAGTCCGTGATCATTCCCTGCAGCCTCTGCTGCCTCGCCTCGGTCAGGGCGATGCATCGGCGGCCTGGGAAGTTGCAGATGAGGAGCCCGAGGAACTCGATGCACCGGCACGGTCCTCGCGCCTTGTGCGGCGCCCACTCGAGGCCCATCTCCTGGCAGACCGCCTCGAAGACGGCGCCGCCATAGCGCGCCGCCTCCTCGGAGTCACCCACGATCAAAAAGTCGTCTACGTACGCGAGAATGTGCACGCCGCGGCCCGCACAGCGCCGCCGAACCATAGCCGCGATGGTCTCGGTGACGGCGCAGAAGATGCGCGGCGAGTCCGCCCAGCCAAACGGCAAGCTCGTGCAGCGCACAAGCATGCCCGTGATAGGGTGGCGCAGGACAAAGTGATTCCGAGACGCGCGGTTGATCCGCACGCCCCAGAACCCATCGCGCAAGTCATGCTTGACAAAGTGCGAATCCGGGCCGAGCAGCCGGTCCACGTTCCAAGCCGAAGGGAGGGCAAACGGAGCCGTCCTCGTCACTCGGTTGAGGCCGACGTCGTACGACTGACACGCTCGATGTTTGCCGCCGCCCTGGTCCACGATGGTCCAGGGATGCACGCAGCGCACCTGGTCGTACTCCGAGAGAGGGACGGGCTCGAGATGGCCGGCCAACAGAGCCCGGTCCACCTCCCTGCCGCACTGCGACTCGGCCTGGAGGGAGGAGAAGGGGTACTGCGCGACCTCGTACCTGCCCAGCTCGGCCTCGGTCGAGACGCTGACCCCCTCAGTCATGGCTAACCGGACCTCCTCCCTCATCACCGGATACCTGGCCATCTCGGCAGCTCCGAGGTCGCCCGACCCGGCCCTAGCGGCGTGAGCCCACGCCTCGGGCGCGTGTGGGAGAGGACGGTAGGTGGCAGCCGCCTTCTCCAGAGCGTCTGGCTTCCAGCCCGTCTGATCCCGCCAGTCCATGTACTCGCGAGCCTCAGAGTGGTCGAGACGGCTCTCCCGGCTCGCCCACAGGCGACCGCCCGCGACCAGGGCCGGGCGAGAGGCGAGACCCGGCGAGGGAGCGCCGCCCCGCCAGTAACTCGCCGGCACGTCGGGGGGAGAGAAGCCCCGCTCTCGCCATCGCTCGGCGACGTCGCGGTCGACTCTCACCACGACCGAGGTGGCCGGGGCGGCCAGCGCGGCCTCGATGGCCGGCCACGCCGCCTCCAGCTCCGGGCCGGGCACGTCCAGGTACGTGTTGTGCCCGGTGAGAGAGCCCGCCTCGAGCCGATCGAGACGTCGATTCGGCAGCAGCTCGTCGAGCCAGCCCGCCTTGACCTCGCCGTCAACGCGCTGCTGGTCGAAGCCGCCGACATATGAGTAGAAGAGCTCGCGGAAGACGAGCTCCTCGTCTGTGAATGTCCGCTCACCGTCGCAGCCGGCTCCAGCCGGTGCCGTCTGAGGCGCCTCTGCGCGCTCCGGCGCCGCCGCCCTACCCTGCCACTCGAGAGCAGCGGCAGGCTCGGCGTCGCCGGCGCCACGGAGCCAGCGGGCGATCTCACGTTTTGCCCAAGCGGGCCGCCGTCGCATCTCGTCGAAGGAGATGAAGGGCACGCCGAACCGATCCTTGGCTATCGCAGCGCAGCACTGCGCGTAGCGGAGCCGGTTGTAGTCGGGAGGGATGGACTGAGCGAGCCGCGGGTACGACATGTGCCCCACGTCGATCCCCATCGCGTCTGCGCACTGCTCGACCGAGCACCGCATCGGATGCTCCCCTAGGGGCGAGAATATGTTGCCCCCGCAGCACGGCCCCACGGGCCGGCCGAACGAGTCCCTTCTGCGCCACCTGCGCCGCTGCCCGAGGCAGCACCGCTTGGCGAGCCGTGCGGCGGGCTCGGCGACGGCTCTGTCGACGACCAGCTCGAAGCTCGACTCGAAGAGCCGAGGCCTTGCCACTTTGAGACCGAAGAGGGAGCCTCGCAGCTCGACCGCGTCCTTCATGGCCTTGCGCGCCCCGGCCACGTTCTCGATAGACCAGTACTTGAACTGCCCGCGCAGCATGTCCCGAGTGTGGTCGATGAGCCCGGGCTGCTTCGCCGGCGTTCGCGCGTCCCTCGCCGTGCTATACTCCTTGCACGGGGGGGAGGCGAACGCAGCTAGAGCCCGGTGTTGGTGCCGCAAGAAGCCGATGAGAGCGTGGTCGATCGCGTCGCCCCGCGTGAAGGCCTCCGGCCCGAATCTGTCGATGTACTCGGGCATGTCGTAGAGGTCGACACCGTGGCTGCGTCCACCAGACCTCCTCGTGCCTTCGCTGCCGCCGCCGCTGCCGCAGAAGAGCTCGAGAATGCCCGGGGTCTCGCCCGACTGAAGCCGCCTGAGGATGGCGACATAGTTGTCGTACCAGCCCATCCACTCTTCGGCGAGGGCACGCTGAGCCGCAAAATCCTCGTCCGAGGCAAGGTTGCGCCCTCCACCACACGACGGCGGACGTTCACGACGCAACCAACGAAGCGCGAGGGGGACTCCTCTCATGCCGCCGCGCCGCCATCGGCCGAGGCGGATGGAGGATCGTACGACGTGCTGCATGAAGCGCACATGCGCCTCGAGAGCGCCGAGCGCGTGGGCTCGCCGTCGATCCCAGCCGACCTCGATGCTCGTGAGGCGGCCTCGCCGCCATCGACGTTGGGCGGAGACGACGAGGCGAGTCACCCATGTCGGGAGCGGCTCCGCGAGGGGGCGCTCCCTGCCGCAACCGATCCCGGGCGCCCGCCCGGTCCCGGGCGGCCCTCTGCTCCTCCAGCGTCGTTGCAGGAGCCCGGCGGCGCGAGCGCGCACCACGCTGTCCAGCTCTGGTCGGTCGACGTCGGCGAAGCTCGCGCCGCCTCTGGCCCACGCTTCCGCACTCATGGAGTCGCCTGGCGGCCGTCCGGCTGCCCGATCTGGGAGCCGTCCGGCTCCCCCCCGCCCCGTCCGGAGCGCCTCAGCTCGCTCCGTTCGGAGCGTCATCCAGCGCTGCCACCGGGAACGGATGAGCCCAGCGGCTGCTACGGCTCTCTCGTCGGCGGCGAGGCCGATCCCGGCCAGCGCGCAGTCACCTGGCAGCCGTCCGGCTGCCCGATTTGGGAGCCGTCCGGCTCCCCCACGCCCCGTCCGGAGCGCCTCAGCTCGCTCCGTCCGGAGCAACACCCAGCGCTGCCACCGGGAACGGATGAGCCCAGCGGCAGCCACGGCTCTCTCGTCGGCGGCGAGGCCGATCCCGGCCAGCGCGCAGTCACCTGGCAGCCGTCCGGCTGCCCGATCCAGGAGCCGTCCGGCTCCCCCACGCTCCGTCCGGAGCGCACCAACCCGCTCCGTCCGGAGCGTCACCGAGCGCCGCCACTGCGACAAAATGAGCCCAGCAGCTGCCACGGCTCTCTCGTCGGCGGCGAGGCCGATCCCGGCCCACGCGCTCTGCTCTTGAAGGCGGCGGCTCCCGCCGTCGCCGATTGCCTCCTCGTCTGCCCGCTCGCCACTCGTGGCTGAGATGCCCGCCACACCGCTGGGGGGCGGCGCGGCCGGTGGCCGGCTCGCGACGCCTCGAGGTGCGTGGAGCTGACTGCATCCCAAAACGAGCTGAGAGAGGGCTGGCCGTTTCGGCGGGGCCGAGTCGGCGATGGCTGGGCAGCCCGCCCAGTCGATATTCGCCCGCCGATTCTCCTCCTCGCCCTCGGCTTCCGCCGGGGCCGGACCATCGTCCACAGTACGAGTTGAGACAACCGGACTCAGCGCTGACTCCAAAACTCTGTCACTGGGACGAACGACTACCACAGACGACGCACCAAACACACGACCACAACCAGGGGAGGAGACGCCTGCCTCGCCCTGGTGTGGGGGAGGAGAGGCGCCACCACCTCTGTGAGGTGGAAACACAGAAAAACGCCGGGCTGCCCGGGCGGGGATCAGAGAAGGAGCCACCCTGTTACGGGCGTCGGCTCTCTCTTCATAAGCCCGGGCAGCCACGGCGCGGTGGGGCGCCTCACCGTCCCGAGCCCCGCCCGCGGTGCGTGAGGGTCACGCGGTGCGAGCGAGGCAGGTCGGCGGGGCTAGGCCCCGAGGGCATCAGTTGCCCTTCTTGACCTTCGGCAAATCGGCTTTGAAGACGGGGCAATCAGGCTTGACGTGCCCCTCCTCGCCGCACCAGTAGCAGGTCTTGACGTTGGACTTGCCCGTCCGCTTCGCCGCCTCCTCGGCCGCCGCCGCCTTGGCCTTGGCCTCTGCCGCCACCGCCTCCGCCTTGGCGAGCCGCTTCCCGATGTCCTCGATCTCCTTCTTGAGCGACTCCGTAGACTTCTCCTGCTCGCGGAAGACGTCGTCGCGGAGCTCCTTGTCGACGGGCAGGCTCGGTAGGCCGCGCCCGGAGTACTTGCGGAGGTACCGCTGGAAGTAGGTGAGGAGGATCTTCTCGTCATTGAACTCCATGAGTCCAGACCGCAGGCTGAGCATCAGCGAGGCCTCTGTCTGCATGCCCCGTTCAATGTAGTCCTGCTCCAGACGGCGGCAGTGCTCGAGCACTGCGCGGCGTCCGCCTTTGAGGGCCTGGCAAAGGCTTGCTCCATCCTCCCGCATCTTCCGTACCTTGCTGACCAGGCCAGGCGACGTGCCGTACTTTGCCCCGTCCAGTGCCAACGCCTCCTCTGCCGACACTACCCCTCCGATTTCTAGGGTAATGCTAAGGGCGAGCGCACCCGGCTCGTCGAGTCCCTGCCCCTCGAGCTCGGTGGCGTACTTGGCACTCAGAATCGCCGCCGGTTTCGCGGCCGGCTGCGAGCTCGCCACTACTGAGGCGCCCGCCGAGCGCGTCGGTGCGCCCGCCTTGGTGGGAGGCTGCTCAGGTGTCGCATCCTGCCACCAGGTCTTGAGGAGGTCCCTCTTGATGAGGTAGCCAGCCCGCGCGCTGGGCTCCCCGAGCAGCGTCCCCGCCAGCGCCTCCCACCCATCAGGGTGGAGGAGGCGCTGCTCCAGCGCCGCGAACGGGATGTCTTCTGCCAGCTCAAAAGCGACGTCACCAATCTTCTCGTCGACAATGCCGACAGCTGTCAGACGCGTCCCGCCCCGCTCCGATCGCAGCAACTTCTCGATCTTCTCCGCGTCCGCGTCCGTCCCCACGGCCACCCCGCCGTCCCCGGACGGCGAAACCTCTGCCAGAACCATGCCGGAAGCGCTGCCTGTCGGGCCGCCCGCCTCTCCTGGCGACGGCGTGGCCCTGAGCGGCGCTGCTGCAGCCCTGAGCGCAGCCGGCACGTGCGGTATGGATATGGCAAGATCGTCCCGGATGCTCTAACGAGAGGCTGATACCGGTACGACAGAAGCAAAACAGGCCGTGTGGGGTGTGGGTGTCACGAGGACAGACGTCCACGAAGACGGTGGACGGACGCAAACTCCTTATCCGATTCACACTCACGGCTGTCCTACTGGTTATATAGAAAGTCGGCCGTCTGCGAGCCCCCGGCTCGCCGACGGCGAGAGAGATGCCACGAGGGGTCGCGGTGGCGTCCATCGCCAGGCTCCCTAGCTCAACCGACGACCCTTCGGGATCGACGGCCGATCGTCATAATACCGGTCGGTACGTACGCGCTTTGGCGGCGAAAGGACTTGCCGGAGGAGGTGGTGTGGCTAGTCATCGACGGCAGCCCCTCTCGCAGCCGCAGCCGCACGTAGCCGTTAATTCTTTACCGTTAATTCTTTATTATTCATTGACGTACCGCCGGCCCATGAAACGAGCGGTACTTACGTCCGTTTTCGCGATCAACCAAAACCGTCGGCCTCGTCGCTCAATTGCCATGGCATCTCTCTGCCGCGGCGGCAGCTGGCCTATGGCGGCTGCGCTCCTTCTGTCCCTTGCCGCGCTACGTCTCAAACTGAGCCTCGGCGACCGCGTCGAAGTGCTGTACCACGGGCTTTTCCTCCTCTTCATCCTCGTCTGCCGTTGGAACGGCTGCTTTCTCGGAGAGTCACTCTCCGGGGGCCAGGGTGAAGCGGCGTCGGGTGAGACGGGCGGCGCGGCAGCACGAGGAGCACCTATGCCCGGTGACTCTACTGCGATAGACCTCGAAGCGCCGCCGACGGCGACAGTGGAGAAGCAGTCGCTGCCGCCGCCGCCGCCGCCTCGGCTGCTGCAGACAGGGCCAGAGCTTCAGCCGGGCTGGATGGTGCCGCGCCGTCCAGTCAAGAGCAGAGATGCGCCTGAATCCCCCGCCGTCGAGTCCCCAAACCGCTTCTCCTCCCTTGACGATGAGGGCAGAGGTGGCTTTGCCGACCAGACAGGCGTCGAATGGGCGCGGGCGCTGCTGGCAAATCCAGACGAGAGGCGGCGCATCGCGGCCGCTGAGTTCGCGGCGGACGACGCGGACGGGGATCAGATGTTGAACATCGAAGAGACGCTCCGCGCGGTGGAGCGCGCATGCGCTCGGAGCGGCCTCGGACTGCCACGCCGCGAGCGCTGCGAGGAGCTCTTCGGCTTCTGCGATAAGAGCGGCGCGGGCTCCACCTGCAGCGAGCAGGATTTTCAGTGTATGTGGTTCTTACGAACATATACCCGAGGGTGAACTGCTGATTTGGGACGACTCAGCCTTTAAAGAAAGAAAGAGAAGAGAAGAGAAGAGAAAACCCAAGGGAGGGATACAAGAAAGAAAACAGCGAACCCAAGGGAGGGGGGGAAGAAAGAAAACAGAGAACCCAGGGAGGGATGGGAGGATGGGAGTCGACTCAGCTGTTCTGCAATTCTTTGGGACCTAGAATTCTTCTTCTTCTCTCCCGCACCGGGTTCCAACTTTTTCCGGGGTATGGTATGGTAGCCTCGCGGCCCAAAGAGGGGATCATTGGTCCCGACCGCCCAAGACTAGCCCTACCATACCCCCAAGTAGGTCTGTCATCAGGCGGGGGGGAAATTGTCTCGGCTCTTGCACATACCATACCCCGCAAAAAGTCCGAACCCTGCCTGCCATAGCAGACGTGCAATGACACCCTCACCAGCCTTTGCCTTTGCGGCTGTTGCCGCCCTTGTGCCGAACCTCACGCCTCTCGACACCCTCACCAGCGGGTTTGCCTCCATTGCACGCCTGCCTCGAGGTGTGACGGTCACTGAGGGCAGCCGCGGCGGCCAGACAGACCAAGCGCCGCCGACGCTGTACGACATGGAGGGCTGCCCCTTCTGCCGACGTGTGCGAGAGGTTGCAACCGAGCTCGATATGGTCGTCAACCTCGTCCCGTCCGCGCGCGGCTCTCGCTCCCGCGACGCTCTCGCCGAGTACGCCGCCGCCGCCGGGAGTAATGTGCAGGTGCCCTTCCTCCTCGACGGCGATACTCGGCTCTTTGAGTCGGAAGAAATCTGCCGCCACCTGATTGCAAAGTACGGCGCAACCGTGGACGTGCCGGGCGTCGGCACCGGCTTCGTCGCCTCTGCGCTGCGCCTCGGCCGCGGGGGGCTGGTCGACAAGTCTGCTCTGCCGGCCCCGCCCGACCGGCCGCTCGTCCTCTACTCGTACGAGGGCAACCAATTTTGCCGCCTTGTGAGAGAGGCGCGGGCCGCACGCTGCCCCACCGCCGCCCTCTCCCCGCAGCTGGTAGCATCCCACTCCCTTCTCCTTCAGGTGCTCTGCGAGCTCGACCTGCCGTACGAGCTCCGCTCCGCCGGCAAGGGCAGCCCGCGCCGCGAGGAGCTCAAAATACTCACGGGCGGGTCGAGCCAATGCCCCTTCTTGCTCGACCCAAATAGCGGCGTGCAGCTGGCCGAGAGCGCCGACATTGTCGAGTATCTGCGGGGGCGGTACTCCCGCGGCGGCGCTTCGGTGGGCTCTTCATGAACGGATGAGGACGGGTGGACACCGCGGCCGCGTTTTGGGCGTCTGTGAGGCACGACCGAAGGTCTCATGTGCCTGTGATCTCTCGTCTTGCCACGAGATTATTCGAGATTTGAAACGGTCGATTTCAAAATTGAAATTCACACGAATGCGAAAACCGAAATGGCCACAATGCACAAAAAGAACGTTAACGAAAACGAATGAACCCCAAAAATACTCACTCTGCACTCGACATACATCATGTGACATATACACAGTTTAGATCTACAGAACAGGCTACCCACACCCAGCCCCGACGGCTCACGCGCTCTCTGTCTATGCACTATAGGTATATGTAGAAAGGTTATCCCGCTTTCCATATTCCATTTAGACCATATACAGAGCCGTCGAAGGTCGTCCGACTCCTGCTGAGCGCTGTATCCGGATTGAATCATGGCGCGAGGCGCGCTGGCTCCATGGCAGCACGTTGAAGCAGAGAGCAAGGTGCTAGGTGGGGACGGAGGACGCGCGCGTAAGGACGCGTCGCCATCTCTACTGTGAATAGAGAGAGAGTGCTGCAGCGTTGGAACCGTAGCTCGGCGCCTCGCCCTCAGCAGACGGCGGGCGAGAAAAGCTGAATGAACGAAGCTGTCTGTTCGCGCCACAGGGCACAGGCACAGCTACCAAGATGCTGTGCTAGATGGGGGGAGCACCGTGGACTCCTACCTCACCTTTGGCAGTCGTTCAGAGCCAGATGAGTAATGGTGCACTAACGTGATGATGAAAACCTGAAAAACACTAAAATTGGACGGCCGCATTCGCAAGCTGTTTTTACGCGGCCGCTGGTGGTACTCGCCGAGCGCCTGCCACGAGCCAGCATGATCCCGTTCTGCGGCCTCATCACCAACGCCATTCTCCTCGTCTGCGGCTACCTCTCCTTCAAGGCGCTCGAGTCCGAGGCGGGCGACGACGACACCAAATGGCTGACTTTCTGGTTTGTGTACTCGCTCCTGGCTTTCATCGAGTCCATCGCTGACTACGTGGGTCTTGCCCTTTGTGGAGTTGGATCTTGCCGTGTCGGCTGACCTCTAGCCTCATCTCAGCCATATTTCGCGCTGACCCTCGGCAGGTCCTATTCATCATCCCCTTCTACAACGAGATCAAGCTCGGAGCCGTCGTCTTCCTGGCTCTCGGCGGAGCAAAGGTACGGCTGCATGCACACCTCCAAAGCACAAGCGCAAGCCCCCCCCCCGCACTCCGGGGTGCAACCACGTACGACTGCATACCGTGCACGCGTCATCTCATGGCCCATTGCCCGCACAGCTGGTCTACAAGATGCTGCGGCCAATCCTGCTCAAGCACCAGGTCGATGCATAGAGAGACGAGGGCGGAGATACCGCCCCGACAGCGTGTGTAGTCTTCTCATCGCGCCTTCTCCACCTGCACCTGCTTCCCTTATCAGGCGGCCATCGACGACAGCCTCGGCGGCGTCATGGACAAGGTGAAGGACGCAGGCGGGGCTGCTATGTCCGCTGCGCAATCAGCCGCGATGGGGAAGAAGGATTAGAGCCGGGTCATGAGAGATTGGGGACAGAGCGAAGGCTGGTTGGGCGTCGGACTTTTGTACACAGTTTGATTGATAGGAAGGCGAAACACAGTCTTCCGACCAAGAGGACTGGCACTGGGACACCAACCAGCGCGGATCTGTGTGTCCCTCTCTCTCTCACTCGATGTGGGTGGACGCAAGACGGGCGGTGAAGGTCCCACAGGAGCGACACACAGATCCACCCAGGACAAGACACAGACAGTAGACAGAGAGTGAAATGAGCGGGGAGTGTCGAGGGAAACCGCCACAGCGCCCGTCGAAGCGCGTATGCTCAGGCACCTGCACGCGAGCCACAGCATCGTCCCGCTCGATGACAGCAGTGGAGACACCGACCTCAAGCCCAGGCTTGTTTGCTCGAGAGGATATGCCGCAGCCGCACTGCTCCTTGCATCAACACCTCTGTTCGTGTGGCTAGCTGCGCTGCCGTCGCCTGTGCTGCCGTCGCCTCCATCGCTGCCACCGCTGCCACCACCGCCGCCTCCATTACCATCGCCTCTGCCACCACCGCCGCCTCCATTACCATCGCGTCTGCCGCCGCAGCCGCCTCCATCGACAACTCTGTCACCGCCACCGCAGCCACCGCCGTCGCCACCGACATCCTCGACCATCGTCACCATCCTGAATGGTCAGTGGGGCGGCGCCGCGGGCGTGCTGGCCCACGTGCTGGATGGCCAGGAGAGCTCTAAGACACATCATTCAGCACCTTGTCCCTCCTCGCTCCTCACATGCCCTCACCCACTCTCACAGGGGATTGACATGTCGGGCTTCAACGGTTCACCTGGCGGCCTGCCGCCGCCCGCCCGCACGCTGTGGGACACTCTCGGCGTGCCCGACCGCAGCCATCCGTGGGGTGATCGCCTCTCCTGCAGCCTCCTCAGCCTTCGCTCTCCCGGCCTCTACGACGCCTCGAATGTGCCGCTGCTCGCGGAGGCCGGCTACACACACCTGCCCGCCGTGCTGCTCGACGCCGAGGCGAGGCCCTGTCGACCGAGACGTGTGACCGTGACATAGCGGCTAGCCTCCTGCGTCCCCACCGCACAAGGTGCTGCGGGGTCGATTACGATGCTGCTATCCCTTCGATGCCGGCTCGACGAAGCTCCACTGCGGCACATTTGGCGGCGGCGCCGGCTGCACTCCAGGCCGGCGTGTAGCCTCTGCCGTCAGCCTTGGACCGTGGCCAACGCCCCTCCTGACCGCACGCTTTCCAGGCTGCGGGGACCGCGACTACGCACAGCGCGAGGCGCGGCCATGGGGCTTCGAGGGCGACGCCCGCGCCTACAAGCCGGATGAGCTGGCCAAGTGCTTTCCGGAGTGGGGCGGTTTAGATGACTCGCTGTCGAGCTCCGCGTGTGTGTGCGTGTAGGTGCCTCGACGGAATGGAGGCGGAGCGGTGCGTCGAGGGACGCTGGTGCGCGCTCAGCCACAACGAGCTGGTGCTCGACATTGCGGACAGCGGCGACGACGGGCTCCAGCGCTTCGTGCGGGCGGTCGTTGTCGACAGCAGGGCGAGCGGAATGGCGGTGAGGCTCGCCCGAGCAGTGTGGGCGGCGGCGGAGCAGAGCAACAGGACGGTGCCGCTGTTGCATTACGACCCTCGGTCTGTGGCGGCCCCCTTCTCAGAGGTGGATAATGAGGGGTGAAGGGATCGGCGTGTTGTGACAACAACAAGACTGCTCTTGAGTCTTGTGTTGTCTTGAGAGACGCGGCCTAGGACGCGTTGGGCCAGGTACCAATTTTGTCGAATTTATTTCAAAATCTGCAGGCGCGGAGCGCCTGCGAAAATTTTGAAGAAATTTGCAGTCGGGCCTGATTTTCATCAAGATCTTTCAAATTTGCGGTGTGGAGTTGGGGGGTGTGGGTTAGGTTAGGGTTATTAGGGTTAGAGGGTTAGGGTTAGGGTTAGGGTTAGGGTTAGGGTCAGGTTAGTCTGGTTGTGTCTGTATATGCCAGCGTTGCAGGGTTCTGCGCTGGGATCTGGCCCCACAGCGCCGACGACTAAGACTCAGCCCCACACGCTGACCTAGGGTTAGGGTTAGGGTTAGGGTTAGGGTTAGGGTTAGGGTTAGGGTTAGGGTTAGGGTTAGTCTTCTTGTGTTTGTATGCCAGCGTTGCAGAGTTCTGCGCTGGGATCTGGCCCCAGCGCCGACGAGTAAGACTCAGCACCGCACGCTGACCCCACCAAATGCCGCCTCAGGGCGCCAGGCCGCCAGCCACTTCTTACACGCGGCCGGCGCCCTCTCGCGGCAAAAGGGTCGAGCGAGCGGGCAGAGTCGCGATGTCTGCGCACCCGCGTGCCGATGGGCGGCACACGCAACCGAGAGAGGCCCTGTCGCGCCGCCAGTAGCGTTCTCCGCACTCCCCACGCCACCAATTGCCGCCTCAGGGCGCCAGCCACCTCTTACACGCGGCCGGCGCCCTCTTGCGGCAAAAGGGTCGAGCGAGCGGGCAGAGTCGCGCGATGTCTGCGCACCCGCGTGCCGATGGGCGGCACACGCAACCGAGAGAGGCCCTGTCACGCCGCCAGTAGCGTTCTCCGCACTCCCCACGCCACCAATTGCCGCCTCAGGGCGCCAGCCACCTCCTTACACGATTACACGCGGCCGGCGCCCTCTCGCGGCAAAAGGGTCGAGCGAGCGGGCAGAGTCGCGCGATGTCTGCGCACCCGCGTGCCGATGGGCGGCACACGCAACGAGGCCCTGTCACGCCGCCAGTAGCGTTCCGCACTCCCCACGCCACCAATTGCCGCCTCAGGGCGCCAGCCACCTCTTACACGCGGCCGGCGCCCTCTCGCGGCAAAAGGGTCGAGCGAGCGGGCAGAGTCGCGATGTCCCTGCGCACCTGGGTGTTCGCCGCCTATATGCTCTATCCTGTGCCAAGACGGACACATTTTGACAATCAAAATCTACCTCAAAATTTGCGGCCGCCCCTCGAAATTTGCTGATCAAAATTTGCGGTGGCCCGGATCGAAACCTGTACTTTGGCCAAAGGACGCGGCGGGCCGAACATGTTCAAGCTTCAACAATCTCGTTCGAGTTGACCCAAGATCGCGTCTCCGTGCTTCACATTCACTGTGTTTCACTGTGTTTCACGATCACGTTCGTTCGTCCTACGATCTTCGACTCTTGACATCATTCAAATATACGTAATTCGAGCACATGACAACAACGATAACACACGACTCTTACACACCCCGCGGGCACTATGCCGCGCCTCGTCCAGTGTCTGCCGGCAAAACCGCCCCATCGTCTGGCGGTGCATCGCACCGCCATCATCTCACGCCCCTCCCGAAGGCCCAGAGTGTGCACCTTATGGTGCGCGCTCTCTCGCCCCGCATGCGCGCGGTCGCGCCCCGCCCATGCCTCGCGCCCGGCGGCTGATCGACGGGCGGCGCCAGGCAGTCTTGCGAACCGGCACCGCCGCAACCTCGCCGCCGCAATGGCGAACGCGACTCAGTAGCCGCCGTAGCCGCCGTAGCCGCCGCGGCCGTACCTGGCGGACAAGGGGGCGGGCCTGTGAGAGCGAACAAGCCTGGGAAAGAGGGAGGGGCGGGCATCTTCATCGCACCCGCCGTATCCGCCCATCATTCCGTACCCGCCGCCACGGCCATAGCCGCCGCCATAGCCTAGAGATGAGACACGGCCCGCCCGTCTCGACGAGGAGAGAGGGCTGTGTGAGCGGGCGGCGAGGGCACACCCCCGTATCCGCCCATCATCCCGTATCCGCCGCCGTATCCGCCCATCATCCCGTATCCGCCGCGCATGCCGCCATACCCGCCGCGCATGCCGCCATACCCGCCGCCGTAGCCGCCGCCGTAGCCCATCCCGTACGAGCGCGAGTACATGCGGTCCATGGCGCGGCTGTAGCGCGACATTCCGTTGCCGGCGTACACGTTGGTGCGGCCGGCGTCGCGAAGCGACTCACCGTTGCGGTAGTAATCGCCACGGTTGCGGATCATGTCGTTGTAGCCGACGTACTCGTTGGTCTGCGAGTTGCCTATTGTCGCAGCGCCGGGGCAGAGGTTGAGAGAGAGAGAGGCTGCCTGCCGGGAGAGTGTGCGGCGACGGCGCAAGTCTCCGCCTTCAAAGGTGAAAGGCGTCTGGTAGGTGCCGGTGCCGTAGTACATAGAGACGGACGAGCGGGAGCTTGCGCGCGGCGCCGCAGGGGCGACGAACGACGTGACGAGCGCGGAGCAAGCGACAAGGGCTGCCATTTCGAGAGAGAGAGTGCGAAGCAGCAGCGAAGGTTTTTGAGAAGGCGTGGAACCCTTTGGGCCATCAACGTAAAAGAGAAAGAATGGAGGCAGTTGCGGGTTTTGTGCAGGTATCGGTGGCCTACATGCCACAAGACGAGTGGTGGAAGGGGAAACACGGCAACACACGGCAACACACGCGTCCGAGAACCGCGTGTCCCCTATACCTACCCTACCTCTCTTCCTTCCACACGCTCACGTTCCTAGACCTAGTGACCACGCAGCCTTCCCTGTCTGATCCCGATTTGCCGACATCGGGCAGCGTCACTTCTCTGAAGCCAAGCTACTCAAAAGGGTGTCTGTCCTGCGCCTGTGCACCTGCAGCCGTCTCCGCTGCGGGGCTCGATCGAGCCCGTGGAGTGGTGAACTCAGGCCTGCGCGGCGATGCCAAAGAGCGTCAGGACCGTTGAGGGGAATATCGCGCCGAACCCGATGGAGAAGATGGAAAACGCGCCCATGACAAAAGCGGTGGTGCGTGCGGCGTCTGAGTCGAGCGCGTAGAGCGGGATGTAGACGAGGCGCACGAGGAGGAGCAGGACAGAGAGCTTCGCAAACAGGAGCTGGTTGAGGCCGAGGGCGTGAGCGACGAAGAAGGCCGGCGCCGCCATTGCCACCATCTCGATGGTGTTGTTGTGCGCGCTCTGCAGCCGGAAATTCAGCGGGTACTTGGGCATCAGTGACTCGGCCGTCTTCATGAGGCGAGGATGGCGGTTGTCGTAGCCGTCGGGCTTGGCGGCGGCAAGGCCCATGATGGGCAAGAGACCCGAGATGAAGATGAGGGCCGGCAGTGACGCGGCCACCAGGAAAGGAACCTTTTCCACCGGCACCGGCAGCGCCGCGAGCACCATTTCCGACGCGGACGAGGCGACAAACCAGCGGAGGGAGGCGGCCGCGACCGCGATGATGGGAGGGAAGAGGGCGTTGAGCTTGACGAAGCCGCCAGAGAGGGACCCGATGCCGAAAACCATTAAGTACACGAGTACGTCGGGTGGCGGGCACACGTGTATTGCAATGAGGGCGCGAAAACGGCGAGATTTCTTTGTAGTAGGTGGGTGTACTGTGTTAGTGCCAGGGCGCGCCAGTCCCGTGCCCAGTGTCGTGCGAGGGAGCTTTGTTGTAAAAATCTTTGTAGGTGACAACAACAGCCTTTGACGTTCGCGGGCGAACTGGCGAACTGGTTCATGAACTGGTTCGGTCGGTAAACTCGCGGTTCGTTCGGTTTCGGAGTTCGCTCTGGACGCATCCCCTTGGTTCGCTGCATCGGTTCGGTCGTTCGCCCTTGGGTGCCCGAACCCTCGAACTAGTTCGTGAACTCGAGCCTTACCGCGGTAAAATCGTGTCTCCACACACACAAAAGTGCTAAGTGGTGGGGCAAGGGGGGACGACCCTCGCATCTCCACGCCAAAGAAAATACGTCCACATAATCTACATATGTACATAGGCCGGTGTGAGCAGGCGCGCGCAAATGCGCAGAGCCAGGAGCCACGTCGGGGGGAAGAGCTGCCACACAGGCGTAAGACCGTAGGTACACCCTTAATGCACATATGTCGGCATGTCGCTCGCGGGTCGTTGCCCGCCGCCACGCCTTGGCCTTCCCTCGCCCTTTCACCAGGACACCCCACCCCTCGCCTCGTCGCCCGCGTCGACCTCGGGTCGACCTCGTGTGGTCCTTAGACCTCACTTGGCAGCAAAACTGCGCACCGTCCAGCACATGCCGAGAGAGATCCTAATATAGGATTCTCCCCAAACCTTGCTCAGCTGATCCAGCCTGGGGGGAAGGCCAGGCCTGGGCAAAGAAACCAGCACCTCATCAGGCTTCCCTGAGCGTCACAGCTCGGTGATCGCGCCGGCCGGACACCACTGAGACGCGTCACGGCCGTTCCCGCGGGCATTTGAACGCGACCTTCGGGGGCTAAGATATGGGCTCTATGGCTCAGACTGGACTCCTCTTGGTCCCTTGTGATGCCCTAGGCCACACCTGGGCCTTACCTGGGGTCCCTAGGCTCCTAGCACCTAGGGGCCGGGCAGGGTTTGCCCTCCGAAACTGGCAGGTCTCTGGGGGGGCGCGGGGGCCCCCGGAGGCACCGTGCGCCGCGCAGCAGTGCGGAAACGGGGCCCCGGCGCTCATACTCGCTCACATACTACCAACTTCCCGAATGATCACGGTTGATCAGAGGGCAGATTTGGAGAGATCTCGAGGAGTACATACAGATAGACCCTCTAACCATAAGAAAACTCCGACCTGATCGGTCGTACTGACCGCCGACAGATCACTCCAGACAGCAGACAGGCCGACGTCTGCACGCGGCCGGCCGGGCGAGAGGCTTGACACGATCCGACCCTGCGAGACCCTGACGCTGCTGCTCTAGCTATCAGACATGCACTGCTGACTGCTGCCACAATGTGCGACCTGTGCTGGCCCACTTGGCGGCCTTCCCGGTCAGTGGTGAGGCGCAGTTCAGAGCTGTCGATGGCGCGATGCCGCACTGGTCCCACATTGGTAACACGAGACCACCACGTTTGCCGGTCCAAGAGAGAGGCACCGGCGCTGTCCGGAGAAGGTGCGTGGTCCCTCTTGACTGCCCATGCGCGCGAGGCTGTGTAGGCATAGCCTCGAGAGTGCCAGCAGCCAATCTGAGGCAGTTTGTGACGGCTTTGCGTCAGAAGCGTGCACGCGGCTGGAAGGACACCTTCCTACTGGTCGTACGATCAGGTCGTCACTGAATGCTTGATACTAAGGCCGCGAGCTATGCAGGTGATCTCAATTGTGCAGCATGGCACGGTCAGAGCAGCGCCGAAAGGATGTCGCAAGGCGTGGTAGCATGGCCGCACAAGTACGCCGAATTCCCATGAAAACAAGTGAAACATGGCGCAAAAAAGAAAAAATCCGAAAAAATCGGCGCCTGCGGCAGGCCATCGGACCGCCCCATCTCCCCCCCGCATGGATACCCTCTCTAGGGCCCCCGCGCCCCCCCAGAGTGGCAGGGGTGGCACCGATGGCGGGGGACCTTCCTTATCCTTTTAATACATTAAATACTTCTACGAGAAAGCCAGCTTACAAGAAATCCCACAATAAATATCAAATCCGAAACAAATCTAACACTCACACATCATTTGTTGTTGTTGCGGATCAGTGCATAGCGCGCCACTGCTCTCGGCTGAAGGGGCGCAGGAGGCCGCTCACCTTCTCCTTGCCGACCGTCGTCCTGTCTCCGCTGTACCCGTGGCCAGGGTAGATGACGACGTCGTCGCCGAGGGCGCGCAGCTGCTGCAGCGAGTCGAACATCGCGTCCACGTCCGAGTCCGGCAAGTCGAGCCTACTCATAAGGATGAATGATCGCCACGTGTGTCTCGTCACGATGAGGAGCCTCAGGAGGTGGAGGCGGGTCGCGCCGGCCGCACGAGCCGGGGAAGATGGTGTCGCCGACGAGTACCGACGCGACGGCTCCGCCTGGCCGCCTCACGCAGAGGCAGACCTGGAAAGGAGAAGCGGCAATCGCGAGACGAGAGGTGCGATGGGAAGCCGCCGCACGGGAGGGGCAGACCGAGCCGCCGCTGTGGCCCGGCGTGTGCAGCACCTCGATCTCGCCGGCCGACGGGCCGAGGGGCAGCACGGCGCCGTGCTCGAGAGGGCGCACCTCCGCCGGCTCGAGGCTGCACTGCTTCGCGACGCGACCCACCTACCTCGAGCGGGTGACCTCGGGTGACCTCGGGTGACCTCGGGTGACCTCTTGTGACCTCGGGTGACCTCGACCCACCTCGAGCGAGTGCACGAGCGGCGGCACACCGTGGTCGCGAGACAGCTCCCCCAGCCCTGGCAGCTGCGCCTCTTGCGCGAAGGGGCCGCACACCATGGCAACCAGCCGGGGGGGCACCTTGCGGTGTCAGGGGGCAGGCATTACGCCCCGGGGTGCGGGGGAGGGCGCTGGCCCGCCGTGCCGATCCTTGCCGCCGACGTGGTCAAAGTGGTAGTGCGTCCCCACCTACAGGAGACGCGCGTGGATCGCAGAAGGCGAAGCGTGTGGGTGGAGGGCGAGGTGCGCCCCCACCGCGCCGACCAGCCTCATCTTGTGCCGCCTCGCCAGCGCGACGATGCCCTCCACGTCCCAGCAGCCGTCCACCTGTGTACAGCTCGAGGAGTGAAGAGACGCTGTGCTCACGTCCGCAGCGCCTCCCCCTCCCAGCAGCCGTCCACCACGTAGCACTCGCGCGTCGCCGCGTCACCGACCAGGTAGACAAAGTTCTTCATGCTCGCCGCCGCGAGGAAGAGGTTCTTCTGCGGCTGGCTGGCGCCCGCCCGCACGAGCGCCACGTCTCTGCCCGGAAGCAGCTGCCGGAACCACAGCCCGCCCTTCATCGCCTAGTGCCCGTGCCCTAAAACTCATCAGTGAAGCAGCTTCCGGAGCCACGATCCCGCCCGGCATCGCCTCGTCGCAGACGGCGACCGCCGCAGAGAGGCTCTTGTCCGCCCGCTGCGGCACCGCGCTCGCGCCGTGCGCCTCTTTGATCTCCTTGGCGTCCAGCTCCGCCGCGTGCCGATACGACTCTCGCGCCTCCTTGTACTGCCGCAGCGCGAATGCCGCCTCGCCGCGCCGGAAGTGAGCCTTGGACCAGTCCACCCGAGCGCCGACGGAGCGGCCGGCCGCCACCAGCGCCTCCTCCGCACGCTCCGCGCGGAGGAGAGCCGCGGAAAGGTTCGAGCACACAGCGGCAAGCACGCTCTTGTCTGGATGCGCTTCGGCGAGCGACGCCGCCTCTTCGTACATCCGGATCGCCTCAGCAGTGTCACCCACCTTGAGAGCCGCGTTGCCGCTGTCCTTGAGCTCGAGGCAGCGAGCGAGCGGGTCGGAGTCGGACATACGAGTAGCACTGGGTCGGATCACTGCCGCGCCCCCCCCCCCCCCCCCCCACTCAGCTGTGAGCGCTGTCAGTCCGTTCTGCTCAGAGGGGTGGTTGACGGGTTGAGGGTTGAGGCCCCCCCTCAACCATGTGATTGACGCTTGAGACCCCCCGTCAACCCTTTAGTTGGGGGTTGAGGCCTCCGGGGCCTATTCACAGGCTCGCCTGAGTGAGGGAGGGTGTAGAGGATGTAGAGTGTAGAGCACTGTAGAGCTGTAGAGATGTAGAGCGCTGTAGAGCTGTAGAGCTCTACATCCGCCGCGTGACGAGGCGCCTGCGTTGTAGAGCGATGTAGAGGCGCTCTACAACGTGAAATCTCTACAACAAACTCTACATCATAAGCGGCGAACGAGGCACGGTCGCTCTCCGACATGAGGCGCGTTGCACTTGCCAGTGCTGCCCTGGCCTTCTGTCTGCCCGCCCAATGGGTGGCAGATGCCTCTGCTGCTGTGGCATGCCTCACGGCTGCGACTGGCCGGCGCCTCGGCGCGTCAGCTCGGCTCGGCGTAGCGATCGTGGCCAGCGCAACTCGCCTGGACTCAACGCTCAGCCAGGAGCTCCCGCACGCGCTGGCGCGAGTCATGGCGCAGATAAGGCGTCTGAATGCTCGCCTCGCCTCGCGCAAATGCGACCGTCCTCGCAGCCGACAGTCCACCGCCTGCTAAAGAAGCACAGCGACGAATGCGGCACCGGCGACACATGGCAGGCTGGTCATGACGCAGTTATAGGGTGTTGTGTGCCGTCAGAGGGACTCTCTGTGTGTCAGGGATAGTCAGGGCTGTCCATCAGAGCTTCACTAAGCTCGGTAAAACCCCATTAGCGCGGCTCGACCTCTTTGAGTCACTGCCTTCCCGGCGGTTTGGCTGTAGAGCCTCTACAACAAACTCTACAACAAAATCGCGCTCTACATCGCTCTACAACGCAGGCGCCTCGTCACGCGGCGGATGTAGAGCTCTACAGCTCTACAGCGCTCCAGAGCGCTCTACATCTCTACAGCTCTACAGCGCTCTACACTCTACATCCTCTACACCCTCCCTCAGAGGCTCGCGCGTGATCACAAGATTGGAACAGCCCTGCCGCCAAAAAAATCGCTTCGCCTGCGGCGCGCTCTTGCGGTCCTCGTACCTTGAGCGCAATCCATAAGTAGGAGACGCTCACTGTCGCCATTCAGGCGCCTGATCCTTCAGCAAAGCGATGGCCTACCAGGTACGAGTTCAGATGCGCGCCCGGCAGAAGACGCTTGTGCTGCCGCATGCAGTGGAATGCGCACAGAGAACGGACGGCAAGAGAAGGCAAGGGAAGGAAGATAAACGGCTGGTGAAGCTCAGCTCACGGCGTAGTATTGCGGTCACTAACCATTCACGGCAAGAGTCACGGTGAATGCTGCCGCATAAAAGCAACAGAGTCGCGGTTGGCGCGATGGTCTTGTCGCGGTTATATAACGACTTGACGTTGCACACGGCCATAGACGCAGTATCTGTTTGGCGAGCCTCAAGCAGCGAAAGCAGGCGCGAGAAATTAATGTCAATCCTGAGATCTCAATTTTGGCGCTAGTTTCGTTTTCTGGTACATCATGACGACTTGGGTCTCATGTAGCTCTCGACGGCTCTTCGACGGCTCTTTCTGGTTGGATCAGACAGTGCTATCAGTCAACAACACAATGCCGAGAGCAGGGCGGCCTTCGAGCAGGGCGGCCTTCGAGGCAACTAAGTTCCTGCTGCATTTTTCATCGTACAACTTGATGGCGGGCGGACGTGTCGAGCATGGAAGGCGGCCATTGCTCAAACCTGTTCGAGTTGGCCTCCGGGAACAAGGGTGCGTGGCCGGCGCGGTCTGTTTCACGTGCAATAAGGGCAACGCCATCAAAATCGCGAACATGGGCCGACATGCCTCCGACATTTCTCAGGGCTCGGACGGAAGCTCTGCAGACAGCCAGACCGCTCTGCGCGGTCGGACCGACTTTTTCAGACTTTGCTATTCTGGATACTGAGGGTATGTGCTGCTAGATCTCACTGAGCTGGGCTCGTATCTGGCTTTGGTAAGCAGTTTTGAGTTCGGTAATGTCTCCGGAGACGGAGGGCCGCGTCCGCGGACGACCATGACGTCGGCCGGGATCCCCCCGTGCGGGGGCCTTCGACGCGCCGTTTTTACGATACTTGCTTCAGCTACGTGCGTGAATGGGAGGTGTGATGCAGCATCCAGGCGTTAAAGAAGACGACATGAATGGTTCACAGAGAATGTGTGTTCAGACCTTTGCGCGGGGGGTGTGAACAGCCATTCCGCGTGGTTGAGGGGTTGAAGGGGTCTGTCAACCACTTGGTTGAGGGTTGAGGCCTCTGTCAACCACGTGGTTGACAGTTGAGGCAATCGGCCTCAACCACCGCTCTGAGTAGACTCCGTCGGTAGCGGGGCCGGTCCCTAAGCCCCACGTGCCCAGGAACCCGAACCCAGCTTTTTTCGGCGCCGAGATGTGCTCGCGGGGTGTGTGGCAGCTCCGCACGCTGCTGCTCAAGTACTGCGACTACGGCGGCAGCAGCCAGGGCGTGCGCGATTGGATCTCGACGCAGCTTGCGCCGTTCGCCAAGGCCAATCCGCAGATCGAGATCATCGCGTCGCGGCAGCCGGGCCGGCACCCTCACGTCAAGGCGCGCTATCTGGCCGATGGCGACAAAGCCCTCTCGCTCAAGGGCCTCAGCTGGCAGCAGGTCTCGATGCGCCTCCAGTTCCTCCGCGACAGCAGACCCGTGCGCTTGCGCAAGTGGGACAAGCCGTTCCGGTCGACGCCGAGCATCCAGGGGGAGTGGCAGCTGGGCCAGCAGCTAGCCGCGGAGCACCGCGTCATACGAGTGTCGGGCGGCGGCGGAGGCGGCAGCTAGCTGCGGCGCGCGCCGACGATATTGTGTCTCTTCAGAGGGTGTTTGTCTCACAGCTCCGTTCTCTGACTTTTGGTGCGGAGATTCATGAGCGAGCGCGGGTGTTAGTATTCTTGTCCAACAAGCACAACACGCCATACCCCCGCCGGCCAGACGGCGCGCGCGCGAGAGAGAGAGTTGGTCCCTTCGGCTTCGAGCCCCGATGTATGACACCCGATGCGGGCCTCGTCACCTGTCGCTCGGCTCCTCTCTCCTCTCGAGCGAGAGACCCGTTCGCTCTCGCAGGCATGCTCTCAGGCCTCGACGCCCTGGAGGTCCCGATCGGAGAGGCGGCGCGAGAAGCTCCGGCGGAGGCTCTCGTCGATCCGGACGATGCCGGTGTTGCCGTCAACCGTGACCTAGTCAGGGCGGGGAGGGAAGTACTCGACGACACTAACAGACTCCACCCTCTCGTAGGGGTGGAGCGAGCGGGCAGGTGGTGGCGTCGCCAATGAGAACCTCGCGCGGTGTGCGACAGAGCGTGGGACATTCTGGCTGCTGCGCACTGGGCATCCCTCCCCCCCTCCCCGCCCCTCCCCCTCTCCCCTCTGGCGGAAAGGCGCACGCGTGCGCCGGGCCTGCATCCCCGTCTTGAGCGAAGCCATCACGTCGATCCCGCTGACGGCGGGCTTGCCTGCAGGGGGGGCGTGTCATCCGGGGACGTGTCGGGGACGCGTCCCGGGCTGCGGTCTTCTGCCCTGCCCAAGTCCCGGCTCGCCGTACTCGCGCGCGCACAGCGCGCCGTGCTGCAGCGCGCCGCCAATCTGGAGGACGACGGCCGAGGCGCCCGCAAACATCGGCGTCCACGCCGGGTCGGTGACGATGGCGACGAGCACCTACGTGAAGGGCCCCTGCTCTCCCCGCACGAGGACAAGCCGCTCCTCTCGCACCGCACGCAGGGGCGCGCCTCGCCCGGCGCGATCGGGTCGGTGGAGCAGGTGCAGACACGCACGCGCCCGCTCGCAACGCCGGGAGAGATCGCCGCCCCGACGAGAGCGCCTGTGGATGATAGACGGGTGTGAGAGCGGTTGACAAGGTGTGTGTGTGGAGAGAGAGAGAGCTGGCGAGCCCCGGACGAGCGTGCCTGCCTCCCCCGACGAGGTTCGGCTTGAGGAAGTGTCTAGGAAGTGTCTAGGGAGTGTATACCGGAAGTGTCTAGGAAGCGTCTCGCCGGGCTCCCCCTCGACGAGGTTCGGCTTGAGGATCCGGCCGCGCGAGTCGATGAGCATGGGGCAGCTCTTTGCGCTCTTGGCGCGCGCGTAGGTCGCCCTGTTCGGCGTGACGGCCGCCCTCAGGTCGAAGCTGCTCTCCTTGATGGCCGCGTCGAGCTGCTGCACCGAGACGTGGAAGACATCTCCCTCCGCCTGGGGAGGGGGCCCGAGACGACCCAAGGAGGTCATGTGCACCGAGCAGGCCCCCCTCGGGTGATCTCGGCTGATCTCGGGTCATCTCGGTCTCTCGTGATCTCGTGTCCTCTCGCGCCTCGAGCCGGCCGGCGGCGAGGAGGTCCGCCTGCGCCGCGAGCAGCGCCGAGCGGAAAGCGGCGGTGACGCGGGCCATGCGCAGCTTGGGCGCGTTCCGGATCCACATCAGATGGTCGAGGTGGAGGTTCCGCTTCTCGAGGTTGGCGCCTGTGAAAAGAGCAAAGATGCGGCCGGAGAAACAAGCTGTGTGAGAGGATTCTCGAGGCTGGCGCCGGCGCAGCGCGCAAAGAGGCCGCCCGAGCCGCGTCCGCCGCGCTCCTCTTGCGCGCGCATCACGCGGCGCCGACTGGCGACGCGCTCCTTCAGAATGTCGGCTGGGTTGCTGATGCCGCCTGCCAGAGAGGGGGGGGGGTACTCTAGGGAGAGGGGAGGCGGATAGGGGGGGGGGGGGGGGAAAAAAAAGTGCCCCCCTTCTGTTGTGGCCCAACTTGGAAACCAAGAGGTGCGGCGAGTCCGCGTAGCGGGGAGAGCTCACAAACAGCTGGTCGGCGCCGTCCCAGCCGTACTCGCGCATGAAGGAGACCCACGCCCCGACGAAGGGCGCGGGCAGGTCGGACTTGCGGCCCGCCTGTGGACAGGAGAGGCGTCAACCGACTCGTGTGTCCAGGGCTGTGTCACATAGGCCGGTCCGGCGGCGGCGCCACGTTGGCGAGGATCCGACCCGTCAGCGCGGGGAGGCCCTCCTCACCGTACTCTGCCCAGACCGAGGGAGGCAGCAAGTGCGCGAGGTCGTACCTGTTGAACGAGTTGGGCGGGGAGAGGTGGAGGCAGACGCGTGTGGAGGGGTCGTGTGCGGTGGTCGAGGTCGTCGCACATCTGCATGTTCATCTGCATGAGCGGGTCCTCCTCGAAACCGCCGCACAAGGCGTCCGCCTCCTCCCGCTCCTACAGGCTCGGCCGCTGCCGTCGAGAGACGCTGCCCGCACCTCGACCGCACGACTCCTCCCGCCTCCTCCCCCTCCTGCGCCGTCCTCCCCTTGACGCGCGCCGTGTCGAGCGCCTTGAAGACGGGGATGATCACCTGCCCGAGATTACGCGAGGTTACCCGAGGTTACCCGAGATTGCGCGAGATCGCCTCGAAGACGGGACCACCTGCATCACCGCCATCTCGAGCTCGAGCACGGGGTAGACGGCGGCGAGCAGCTCGGCGTAGAAGGACTCGAAGCCCGCCGAGGTGACGCCGCGCTCCTCGAGCGCCTTCAGCGCCTCCGAGCTGCGGCGCGCCTCGGAGATGTACTCCGCCTGTGTCCGCACGCCATGAACGGGCCATGAACAGGCGCGGCTCACACACGCGGCTGCATCTCGGCTGCATCTCGGCTGCATCTCGTCTGCATCTCGGCTGCATCTCGGCTGCATCTCGGCCAGATCTCGGGCACTCTGGCGGCACTCCGCCTTGGTCTCGAGTGGCGCGCGCTCCCAGCGCGAGCCGAGCTGGTACTGCCGCCACATCGGCATCTGGCGCAGCAGCCCCCACACGCTGCCGAAGCTGAGGCCGGAGGGAAGCCGCGCGCTCTTGTACCTGCCGGCTTGATGAATGATCAGTCGTTGTTAAATGGGGTACTCATTCCGCGCTCTTGCACTTGGCGGCGTCGCAGTCGTCCCCGCGCAGGATGGCCGCCAGGTAGACGTCCACCTGAGGCCGAGAGACGGCTCGACTTCCGATGCTCGGCCTGCGTGATGATCAGGTGATGCTCCCGAGAGGAGCAAGAGGCTGGCCGAGGGGCCGCACACCATCTCGAGCTGGCTCGCGAACCAGCGCGGCCCGACGAGGCGGAAGGCGTGGGACATGTTGATGTACTGGCGCGTCTGGCCGTTGAAGAAGACCTGCTCCGGGTCGGTGGGGATGCGCGCGCCCGCCAGGCCGAGGAAGGCGAGCGACATGTCCGAGTAGACCGCGAGGTCGAGGCAAGTGAAGGGCGAGGTGGTCGTCGCCTAGCAGCGGCCTCTTCCATGAGAAGGCAAGGCGCGAGGACGATCGTAGTGAGGGGCGAAGTGGTCGTCGCTAGAGTGAGGGGCGAAGTGGTCGCATCGCCTCGCTCGCGACGTTGAAGTCGTAGTACAGCCGGCGCGGCTCGCCCGGAGGCGTGATCATCGCCTCGTCGAGCGGGTGCAGCGTCGTGACTGGCCGTGCCTGCAGGAGCCGCAGCTCGCCTGCCTCCGTGTACGCCCACTCGGTGTCCATCGGCCGTCCGTACGCGCCTCGTTGAGCGGCGTGGCGTGGTGAGGTATGGCTGCTCGCCCGGTGCAGCTGCAGACTACTTCTGCCGCGCGCCTTCGACGGCGGCGACGAGCGCAGCCAGCTGCCGCAGCTGCTCGTCTGACAGGCTCCGCACCGCCTGCCTCTCACCATCCTCCCGAGATTACCACCGATTACCCGAGGTTCCCCGAGGACAGGCTCCGCACCGCCTGCCTCTCCGCACCCACGCGCCGCACCTCGACGCCGCCGTCGGCCGCCAGCCGCACCTCTTGCGCCTTGCTGCCCACCTTGCTCTCGAGCAGCCGGCCGCCCACCTTGACCCGCACGAACCGGTCTGCTACTAGCACTGCGGCCATTCTCGCCGCTATTGTGAGGATTGCTATTGTCATCGATGGCCCACCTTGTCCCACACAAAGCGGTCGGCGACGATGCTGCCGTCGACGACGCTTTCTCCGAGGCCTAATCTCGGCACATCTCGGCTCATCTCAGGCCATCTCTGTACGTCTCGATGAAGCATTCTCCGAGGCCGTAGCCCGCGTCGACGAGCATCTCGTCGAGGTCCGAGTTGAGCGGGTTGGCACTGAAGGCGACGCCTATTGACAGCGAACTGATGATCTCGTCGAGGTCCGAGATGAGCGGGTTGGCGCTGAAGGGCACGCCGGCGGTGGCTGCGTCCACCATCTCCATCACGGTGGCGGCGAAGGCGGGCTTGTGCGCGCCGGCGTAGCTGAACACGCGGTGGTCGAAGACGGACGCGAAGCAGGCCCGGACCGCCGCCTCCAGGCCTTCGGGAGAGACGCCGAGCTTTGTCTCGAAGACGCCGGCGAACGAGGCGCCCGTGCCGTCCTCCTCTGGCGCCGAGGAGCGGACCGCCGCCAGCCGGCCGGGCCACGCCTCCATTGCTCGCCGGACGGTGTCGAGGCACGCGGTCTGGGCGGCACTCAGCGGCAGCCGCTGCGCCAGCCTCTTGAGGCCCACGCACAGCCGTGGCCCCTCTGGCGTCCCGAGCTTTGGCTCGGCGGCGGCCCACTCCCTCGACGCCGTCACAGCGGCAGTCCACTCTGCGAAAAAGTCGACGGTGATGGCATATCCGCCCGGCACGTAAGACGAGACGCCGGGCGTAATACAGCCTCATCAGACTCGCACTCTTCCCGCCGACAGCGCGGACTGGGAGCGGCTTCTTTGCGTCGAGGGCGGCGAGCATGGCGCGTTCGTATGGCGCGTCATCGTTGGCATCGAGACGCACGCTGGGCGGGCGAACCGCGCCAGCCACGGGTGCGCTCTGGGCGGTGCCCATGGATGTAACTTGGGAAGGCCGATCGCTCTGGGCGATGGCAAGGGGTGGAGGCCGAGGGAGGGCCGATTCACCTCGGTTTCTTTTTCCTCACTTCATTTGTTCGATTAAGGAGAAGAAGAAACCTGCGAGCCCTTTTCGGCCCCTCAAGCGCACGCAACGAAAAAAGAAAGCGTTCGCGCACCTCAGAGCACTCAAGCCAGAGCTGCTCAAGCCGTACCCAAAATCAAGAGTGGAGGAACCTCCAGAGGCGGCCCATGTCCAAAGTCTCACCCACGCGGGCTCGCTTCGTGATGCGCCGATGCCTGGTCGCTCTCATGTTCGACGACAGCGTCCGTGCGACCGCGGGCAATGCGGTGTGGCAGCCGACCGCCTCGCCCTCGCCGCAGCCGCCCGCCTCGCTCTCGCCGCAGCCGTCCGCCTCGCGCTCGCCACGCGTGCTCTCCGAGCCTGCTGTACGCTCAGAGCACGCGCGCTCCATGCTTGCGAGCGGCGCCATGCTTGGGAGATCGAGGAGGAAGAAGGAGGAGGAGGACGAGCGGATTTTTGCGAATGAGACAGAGGAGGAGAAGACGATCCGGCACCACGCAGACGATCAAGAAACCTTGCAAATGTTTTGCATCGTCGCCCTGATCCTCTGCGCGATGTGCTATCTCGGCAATTTCTGCTTTCTTCAGGATTACCTGTCCGACGTCCAAGCGGGAGTCAAGACGGCGGCGAGCCGGCGGTTAGGCAAAGAGTTTTGGCGACGAGGCGAGGCGGCGATTCCGAACAAGAGAGGGGAAGCTGGAAAAGGTACGTTGATATAGCTGTCCCACTACATGCGATGTACGGTGCTCCGGGCATATGAAGCATGATCCATGGAAGGTTTTGCCCCCCTCTAGACCGGGTCGCGGCGGGGTGCGATATATTTTCGCGCGATTGCTGATGGAGAAGAAATTCTCAGATCCCAAGAAATTGTTGAAAGAGTTCACTGGGACTCCGGACTGTCGACTGACACAAATCACAATGCGGCTGCTTGCTCGATGCTCCCTGCGCGCTGCGGGCTGCGCGCGCTCCACGCTCCCCGGGGAGCGGGACGGGTGTCCTCAAGGTCCAGGAACGCCGACGGCGAGACTTGGCGGCGGCGCACGGGCGCCTGCTCAGTCTCATGCGCCGACGACTGCCTCGCCGTTTGAACGCTCCCCAGACCCCCCATAGATGGCTCTAGGAGCCCGCCGAGGGGCCACCCGCGTGCGCGTCGAGGCGCGCCCTGGCCTTGTCCAGCTCCGCGGAGAGGCGCTCGTTCTCCTGCAGCAACCGCTGCGCGTCGGCCGCGAGCCTCGGCAACGCACCGACAAGCTCGCGCAGCTGCTCGGTGTCGACGGGTCGCTCGAGGCCCTTGATCGAGGTGTGCTCGAGCACGTGCTCCATCAGGGCGTCGCGCGACGCGACGGCGGAGAAGTCTCGCGGAGCCTAGGAGGGGGGCGGCCGCGGGTAAGCCCGCGTCCTCGGGAGGGCCTCTGGACGGCGGAGAAGTCGCGCCGCCGACGCGGGCTCGTCGCCGCGGAAGAAGAGGAGGGCGGGCGTGCGCTCGAGGCGGAGGCGGCGCGGCAAGTCATTGCGAGACACGTCGATCGATGCGACCCGCACGCGCCGCTCGTGCGCCCAGAGGCGGGCGAACACCTCGAGCTCGGGCAGCACGTCCACCTGCGGGTGCGGGCAGCGAGTCCGAGGCGGTGTGAGCGCCTCCGGCTCGCCCCCCTCGTCTCGCGGCGCGAGCACACCCCGGCCACACCTCCGCCACACCTCCGCCAGATCTCTGGCTCGGTCTCGGCTCGATGCAACCTCGTCCCACGGCGCGTGCACGCACAACAGCACGTCCGCCGCGGAGCGAAGCGCGAGCGGCTCGAGCGTGCTGCCGACCAGCCGCACCACAGGGCCCAGGTTGTCGAGCGGAGGCTCCTCGGACCGGAGCGTCGGCGGCAGCGAGCCGGCGGCGACCGAGCGGGCCCACTGCATCACCGGCGCGTAGAGCTCGCCGTGGTAGGCGCCTGCTTGGCAGAATGCCTGTGAGGAGTCGCATCTCGCAGCCGGGGGGGCGACAGCTCGCCGCGTTCTTTGCCGGCGTCGGGCGCCGCGGCGTCGGTAGTGGAGTCTGCTGCCGCGACGCCGCCGTCGGCCGCCACGGCAGCGGCAGCGGTGTGTGCGGGCAGGAAGTCGAGCGGGAGGGGGTAGACGTAGTGGAGGTTGGCGTGGTCGGCCGCGAGGGCGGGGATCCGTGCGGAGACTGGCAGGTGGTGCCGGTGCCTGTTCGCGTCGATCCAGCCGAAGAGGGCCTCGCCTGCAGGTGCACAAACGGAGCTGTGACCACATCAAAAGAAAGTCCGCCTCCCCAAAGGGGGGGCGTCGCCTCTCATCGCGAGGGCAACGCGCCGCAGCACCGCGCCCACCCGCGCAGTGTGCGCCGCCTGATCGCAAAGCAGGCAGGACTGCGAATGAGCCACAGCAGTGTGAGCCGCCCTCGCAGTGTGCGACGCCTGCAGCGCGTCGGCCGAAGAGGCATTCAGCAATAGCCACACCATCGGAAGCCCGACCTCGGGCGCCCCGCCACCCTCCGCCCCGCCACCCTCCGCCCCGCCACCCTCCGCCCCGCCCTCCTCGCCGCCGGTCTCCTGGCCGCCGGCGGTCTCGCCCCTGGCTGGTGCGGAGAGAGACGCGCGGTACAGCTCGTAGGTTGAGGGCGACACCTCTGCGAGGAGGGGCGTGTGGTGCCGCCGGAGGAAGGCGCGGAGCTGCGCCTAAGAAGAGGAGGGTGTCCACGAGGTGTCCACGAGGTGTCCACGAGGTGTCCACGAGGTGTCCAGGAAGAGTGCCGAGGGAGTGGGAAGGGAGTGAACAAGTGTCTAGAAAGTGTCCTCGGAAGTGCCTAGCAGCTCCGCCTCGTCTCGCACGTCTCCCTCGAACCCGACAGCCTCGCCCCTCCGCAGCAGCACGACGCGTGCGGAGGAGGGCGAGGGCCGTGGGCCGGCGCGCGTGGGCGGGAGGGAGGCGGCGGCGTGCAGGCGCTCGTCCTCCGCCGTCGGCTCGCACGGGCCCGCATCGCTGTCGAGCGGCGGCGGGCACCACCTCGAGAAGAGGCCCGCGGGAGCAACAATGAAGCCGGTTCGGCGCAGAGCACCGTCCGCAGCGAGCGCGGCGAGAGCGCGGCGCGCTGCGGGCGCATCGGACGAGTCGGACGAGAAGAGGACGAGCGCGCCGCCCTCCGCGGCCTCCGCCTCCGCCGCCAGCTCGCGCCCGGTGTTGACCTCCTGCGGCTCGCTTCGCGCGTGCCGCCTCACAAATGCCGCCATCTCCCACGCGACAAAGTTGCCCTTGTACACCTCCGCGCCGTCCACGGCGTGGTGGTGCAGCCGCAGCGCTGGCAGTGCAACGACGCCCGCGGAGCTTGCGAGCACCTCGTCGTCGCACAGCGCCACGGCCCCGCTGCCATGGCCCAGGAGCTGCGCCGCGGCCGCCAAAGCGCCTGGCGGCTCTGGCGGGAGCGAGCCGGCGGCCAGGTAGAGGACGAGGAGCGGCGAGTGCGCGTGTAGAGCCGACGAAAAGTTGTGTTGTGTGAGAAGCAACGGCACGCTCATGTCGCTGGGCCAGGCAAGAGCTTGAAGAAAAGAGAAAGCCGCTCGTCACGTGAGGTTAATGACCGCAAGTGCTCCAAGTGCCGATACGAAACAAGAACACAACGCATATCTCACATGACAAGCGATCCCACGTCAGCGATTGTGGGGACTACATGATTACACGAAGGGTTGGGGGGGCCGTCCGCAGAGCTAGGCGGCGCGGGCACCCCCCACTGGGGCCGAGCGTAAGAAGCCGTTTGCCACTTGCTTGTTTGTTCTTGACCCAATTGGCACGCGCTGGGGAGTTGAGCCAGTCTTTACGCACATTGCGCGCCTGCTTGTTGATGTTCTCGGCGTCGCCCGCCACCGCCGCCATGGAGATCTGCTGCGGGAGAGAGAGATTTTTAGCAATACCAAACAACTCTAACACTCACACGTAATTTGGGGCCTGGAGCCCTGTTCACGCGCGCGCGACTGAGTTGGCAGGATCGGCAACTGGGGTCCGTTCTGACTAGTACATGAACACGTTCTGGCCCTCGCCATTCTGATCATTCCTGGAACACCCTCGCGCCTCGGACCGACCCAGGTGGCCGGCCGCGCGGCCGGGTAACCCGGGTGAGTGCTTTGAGTGGGTGGCTGTCCCGTATTGCATATAAGGGCTGTTCGCTACCCTGCCCCCCTGTGCCCTCCCTCGCGGTGTCCTGCGGGTTCCGCGGCCGCCTTCCGCGGCCGCCCTCGCGCCCGACCGTTTTCTTTTTCGCTCCGCGCGCATACCAAAGGGCCCGCCAACACGCCAACGACATCCGACACCCTCGCGCGGCGACGGACCTCTCGCTCGAGTCGTCGATGTACGACGGCTCGCCGTCGGCAGAGTACGAGTCGTGGCTGCTGCTCGAGCCTGTTCTGGCGCCGACGGAGGCGGCGGCCCTGCCAGCGGCGGCCGGCGGCGCAATCGTCGCCGTGTGAAGAGGTCGGACCGGCTGGGGCCGCGGGCGGTGGGCGGTGGGCTGCCTTGGGGGGATGGGCTGTGGCAGGGTCCGAGTCGTAGGGCCGGTGCCGCCTGGATGCCGTTCTGATCATTCCTGCGACCTTTGTAGTCTTCCGTCCGAGGTCGGGCTGAGGGAGGACTGATGAGCCGCGTCACTGTCCCTGTGCCTGTCTGCTGCTAGTGCCGAGAGAGAGGCTCCGGGTCTCAGCGCCTCAGGCGGGCCCAGCCGCCGGTGTTCTGAACGTTCTGAGAACGCATTCCGAGCCTTGCCATTCTGATCATTCCCCTTACCTTGCCAACTCAGGCGCGCGAGACGTGCAGCCACAGGCAGGGTTGCCAGGTGAGAGCGAAGTTGTTTTGTTGTCTGTTGTGTGTGGTGGACGACGAAGGAGGAGGCGCTCGCCGACGCCGCCCCGTACTCCGTCCGGTCCGTCTTGCTGCCCGCCGCCTCCTTGGCGAACACGTGGAGAAACTGCTTGGACCTTGGTGGGCGGTGCAATGCCACCAAAGTCTCAACGAGCACCAGCCGCGTTAGAAAAGAAATTTGAATTTCGAAACTCCCTCGCACGACTCCCTTGGGTTGTCTGTTTCTTTCTTTCTTTTTACGACACGAGGCACGGACGAAGAATTCTACGAGCGAAAAAATAAACCACCGGCCTGGGCACCACCGCGTGCGGGCGCTCGCAGTGGCCCAAACCTGGAATCGGCGATTCCAGGTTTCGCTGGCCTGCGCTCCACGCGCACCGCCGCGGCACCGCTGCGCGCCGACAGGGGCAGCTCGCTACCCCTAGCCGAGCCCTCAAAGGAGCGCGCTCCTGGCCACCTCGTGCTCCCACACGGCGCATCGCCGCGAGCGGCTCGTCGAGCCGCCGGCGCTCCGGGCTCCAGACATCTCGCCGCGCGGGTTCTCGTGCAGCCTCCGGGCTCGCGGCGCGTGCAGGTAGCTTAGGCCGACCCCTCGCGACCCTGAGATCGCGACGCGAGAGCTCTCCATCCCAACTCTACGCTCGCTCGCGCTAGGCGCGCCGCTCCGCTCGCGCGCAAGACACGCTCGGCGGGCGCATCGCGCGGCAGGCCGCGCGAGCTCCGTACGGAAGGCGCACCTCCCGCGTGCCCCATGCGACAGGTACCGCGGAGGTCGGGTGCACGCGGCGGAGGTCGGGAGAGGGCTCGCACACACTCTGATCAGCTCGCCTCACGCCATGTCGGTGCCGAGCGGGTCGCTGCAGCCCCGTCGCCGGCCTCTGGGCAGGAGGCGCGATGCCTCTTCGGCTGTGCCACCCGCCTCGCTCGTGCCGCCGGGCGGTGGAGGACACGGGATGGTGTCGGTCGTCGCTGGCGGCGGCGATGCTGGCGGCGGCGATGCGGACGGCGGCGACGGCGACGGCGGCGACGGCATCGTCGGCGGCGTCGGCGGCGGCGGCGGAGGCGGTGACGGCGTCGTCGGCGACGGCGGCGGCGGCGGCGGCGGAGGCGGTGATGGCGGTGACGCCACCGGCCTGCATATGCTGTCGAAGGGCTTCGTCGACTTTGCGCTCTCGATGGCTTCGGCAAACTACGCGGCCAACAGGGAAGAGATGCGAGCACACCTCGAGTGAGCCTCCAGCGCAGGAGAAGCTCTCGAACTAAGTTAATCTCACAGCCTCCCACCGTTGCGCGTAGCACGATCCGCAGCGGCGGGCGCGACACCGGCACCGCCGAACGGCGGCTCGCGCAGCTGCAGCAGGAGCGCGTGGCCATCTTCACACACGCGTCGAACGTGCTGACGACCGTCTTCGTCCTCCTCATCGGGGCTGCTGTCGTGATCGCCCTCCACCGGTCGCCGCAGCCGGTCTGGTGACCCCTCCTCCGCCTTCGCCGCTTGCACCTCGCGTGAGCTCGAGCCCCTCGCGCCACTCCTTGCCGCAGGTGATGCCGCCGCCCGCGGCCCCGCCTCAGCCGCCCACCGCCCGCTCGCTGCCCGATGCTTGCATCGCGGAAGACGAGCTGCGCGCCGCGGTCGCCCGCGCTGGCCGGGAGGCGGCGTGGCACGCAGCACAGAGGCCGATTAGCGCATGCCTCGCGGCCGCCGTGTCAGCCCGCGCGACATGTCACGACGCGCGCGCGGTGAGAGCGGTCGCCCTCTGTACATACGGTCCGGACGCGTCTGTACTGTTTCCCGACCAACACTGCATGATGACACTCTGCGCCCCGCGCGCATGCGTGATGGGAGAGGCGCGGCTTCGGCTATGTCGCAGCTGTGTGTGTCCTGCTGTGTGGACACGAGAGCTGGTACAGCACGCTCTATACGTACACCAAAGCCACACGCGGCACCTTCTCTCACCGCCCGCACGGACTTCTCTCAGAGGGAAGCTACCCGAGCCCGCGGGGACACCGGCCGGCACGAAAGGAGGGCGGCGCCTCGAGCTCGCGCGAGCGGCGAGCACTCGACGAGGTGACCGGAGGGCCGGCCGGCGGCGGATAATGGCAGCAGCCGGCTCCGGAGGGAGGTTGCGGCAGCAGAAGGTGGCGCGGCGAGCGAGAAGGGGTGACGGCGCGCGGGAAGAGGCGCACGGGTCGTGCGCGCCGCTCGCGAGGCGCTCCCGGTGTCTCCGGCGCCGCAGCCGACCGGCACAGCACGGTTGGGCCGGCGGTGGCGCCCTTCGAGCGCGAGAGGGCGGTTTCTCGGATGCGCTCGGCCGCCTCTGCTCGACAACACGCTGAGAGAGCCGCACAGGGAGACGGTCGATCGCGACGCGAAATCGGACGACACAGATCGCTTTCGAGTCGTCTCGAGGCACTCGAACCGCCGCGCAACCGCCCGTGGCGGCACGGCGAAGGGCTGCCTGGGCCACTGCTACCTCGGCCGAGCGGATATCCGCGGTGGCGACTCCGGGCCAGGGCGGCCCCTAGGATTGGCGTCACTTTTGCCGTCCTCCTCGCCCCCATCGCCGCCGCCGCTTGTGGACGTCGCCGCCACCACGCCCGCAGTGGTGGCTTCGCATGGCCGAGCAGGCGGGCGTCGCCCCCAGCGCACAAAGCGTGGGCGAGAGCTTAATGGCAAAGCTCGCGCAGCTTCAGCGCGTCGACGCGGTCTCGCGGCTGCTGCGGCCGCACTACCCGGACGACAGCGTGTGCGGGCCGCTGGCGAGCGCTGTGGTGGCCGAGGTGGGCAGAGCTCGGACCTTTGACCGGTTCGCCTGCCGCCTCGTCGACGCGGACGGTCCCAGCGCCAGCCTCGCTGAACTCCCCCTGCGCGTGCTCCACCGCCTCTTCCTCGCCGCGCGCAGCGGCCCGCCTGCCGCCGCACCGCCTGGCGTGGATGCGCCCGTCGTCTCGTTCGACTCACTGCGCCGCGCGCGGACGACCCTCGACGACTTTAGCAAGTTCTACCTGCCGCTGCACGGGCTGGCGCAGGTCGACTTCTTCCGCTGGCTGCCGCAGCTCACGTTTGTCGAGGCGGCCATCTACCAGCTCGACCAGGACAATGAGGAGCTCGCGCGGAGGGGAAGGCGAGAGGCGGAGGCGGCTGGCCCGACGGAGGCGGCGCTGCGCGCCGTGCTCGAGGGCGAGGGGCTGCTGCTGCCCGAGGTGGAGGCGGAGCTCGCCGCCGGGAGAGAGTACTGGGCGCTCGAGCGGCGGCTGTGTGCGGCGATGCTGCGGCGACCGGTCGGCTCGGAGGAGGTGCTGCCCGGAGCCTTCTGGGAGCCGTCTCGGAACCTTCCTGCAGGCGCCCGCTTGTCGGGTGGGCGCAGGAGCTGCGCGTGAACAGCGTCTCTTCACGCCTGCCGCTGCGAGGACAGGCGAGAGCCGGTCGGGTGGGGGGAGGTGCTGGAGGCGAGCTCGCTCAAGAGCTTCGACTACAGAGTGTTGCACGCGCTGCTCGGCTCGGCCAGCGGTCCAGTTCACCGGCGTCCTGCTCCCTCACTCACCGTGAGCAGGAGCCGTGAACAGGCTCGCTCAGCGCGGCGCCGCCCTCGCCGCAGCTGCGCGCGTTTCTGCGCGTGGACGAGGTGCTCACCGACGTGGCAGACGACCTGTTCGATTACGAGAAGGACGTCGCCCAAAACTCGTTCAACGTGCTGCGCGGCGCGGTGCACGCCTTCGGCGAGGAGGCGCCGCTGCGGCTCGCCGCCGAGATTGGCCGGCTGGAGCGGGAGCACGAGGCGGCGCTGCAGGCGCTGCCGGAGGGGCAGCGCGCCGCGTATTGCCGCTGCCGCGCCGACGCGATGGCGCGCCGGCCGCGGTCCGAGAAGGGGCAGGGCGGCAGCTGGACTGCGTTCTGTTTGCCGACTCACAGCTGTCGGCCTCTAGGAGCGGCAAGTGGGTCTTCCCGAGAGTGCTGCTGCCGGCGCAGGAGGAGGCCCACCGTGCCGCGCTGCTGCGGGGCGGCGGGTTGGAGGGCGGCGGCGGGTCGGACTCCGACTCTCCGTCGAGCTAGGTTACCCACGGGCTGTGTTTCTTGGGGGGGGGGGGTATACATTTTGCGTTTTGGATTTTGGAAATGGAACATGCAACCAACACCTCGAGCGCGTTGGCTCGCCCTGCTATTCTCCCGCTCCGTTAGGTTTCTTCCGTCCAGGAGGCTGGGCGCGAGCTTTGCTGCCCGGCCCGCCTCCCCCACTGGCACTGCTGCCGCCGGCGGGCGGCCGCTGCTTGTGCCTCCGCCCAAAGGCCTTGTCGACGTCGATGCCGCCCTTGAGGGCCTTGCCGAGCTTCTTCAAGTCGACGCCGCCCCGGAGCGCCTTGCCCAGCTGCAGCGTCGCGCCAGCGAGCATCGGGCCTTCATGATCAATAACTTTGATGAGTAAGCATTGAAATCCGCCACTTGAAGCGTCGCGCCGGCGAGCGTCGGGCCTTCGGCCGCGCTGCTTGCCGCGGAGCTGTTGACGGCGCGCTCGAGCTCGAGGCCGCCGCTCCACTTCTGCAGCGTGCCTGAGTATCTCACGAGCAAGGATGAGCAATGAGCCGTTCCTGCTTGGGCCGCCACTTCTGCAGCGTGCCCGTGGTCGACGCCATCGGCACCCACGAAGCTGTGGCGTACCTGGTAGCCAAATCTCGGATGATCTCCGGTAAGTGGGTGAGCGCACAGCAACCTTGGGGCGGGGAGACGGGATCGTGCAGCGCATTCAAGACACAACGTGTACGTCTACCCCCGCAGGTGTGTTGCATCTGGTGAGGCGTGCAGGTTGTCGAGGACAGCCACGAGGACAGACGGGAGGGAGAGGGCCGCGATGCACGCCTAGATCTCGGTTCATCTCGGGTGATCTCGCGTGATCTGGGTGTCAGAGGGAGAGAGGGCCGCGGTGCAGGCCGAGAAGCCGAGGAGCAGCTTGCAAAAGAGGCGGCGCGGGTGGGTCCAGTTGTACATGTAGCCGACGCACGCCTGCGAGCACACCGCGGCCGTTGGTCATTCACACACCATATGCCATCCACCGTTAGCAACTCGTCGAAGGCCATTCCTCAAAGCCATGATCATTAGCAACTGGGGCGGCGCGCGCCTCCCAAAAGACAGCGGGCGCGACGAAGGAGAGGACGACCGACGTGGTGCCGCCGAGCAAGCCGAAGATCGCGTCGATGTTCGGAAAGACGATCGCGCAGAGCAGGGAGCTACCCACGAGCAGCAGCGACACGGCGGTGTGGCGGAACGGGTCGCTGACCCTTTCGCGCGGCGCATCGACGTGCTCGACGAGAGCGTCGGTCGCGCGCGGCACGAGCTCGCTGCGCGCGAGGATGGCACGCAAATGCATGCGGCAGAGGAAGACCATCATCGGGAAGGTGAAGGCGAAGGCGAGGACCACCGCCAGCCTGGCGGCGAGCACGACGCTCGTCTGCGGCAGAGAGTCGAGCACGTTCGGCCGCACGGCGCTGCCATACGCGAGCGAGCCGACGAGTCCGACGAGGAGGTGGAGGGCGAGGGTGACGTACATGGTGGTGTCGACGACGCGGTGCATGTAAGCGTACGTCGCCGGCTGGTGCAGCGTCTCGAGGGCGGGCGGGAAGAGGGACTGGGACGAGAAGCAGAAGGCGAGGGTAGGCAGCGAGAGGAGGGCCTCCGCAGAGAAGATGGCGGCGGGGAGAGGCTCGGCGGCGGCGGCGTCGGGCGGCGGCGGGGTGAGGGCGACGACGGCGACGGTGAAGAAGAGGCATCCCATCCCGACGGCGGAAGTGCACTGCAGCGCGTCCATGCTGCGCAGGAGCGAGAGCGGCGTCAGACAAACCGCGGTGAAGGCGACGAGCAGGAGCAGGGCGAGGAGGGAGTAGTGGAGCGGGCCGTCGCTGACTGGCCCGCCGTCGTAGACGCTACCGTCGCCGAGCGAGGAGGTGAGGACGGTGAAGGCTTCTCCGATGATGACCAGGTACGAGACGGAGGACCCGAAGAAGAAGAGGAGCGACGACCAGTCGATCAGCGAGGCGATCCCGTCCGCCACGTGCGAGCAGAGGCCGATGTACGAGTGCTCGCGCGTGGTGAGGCAGGCGCGCAGCAGGAGCAGTAGGCTCGCGTGGTTGAGCGCAAACACGCCCAGCAGCATCACCGTGCCCATCAGCCAGCCGCACCGCGCGAACGCCAGCGGGAGCGCCAGCAGACCGGGCCCCGTCGTGCCGTTCAGCAGGTTGAGCGTGGTGCCGACGAGGGAGAAGAGGGTCGTGTCTGGGACCTCGTAGTGCAAAGCGCCTTTCAGCGCGGTGAGCTTGCTCTGCCCCAACTCGGCCGCTGAGGTGAGCTTGCTCTGACCCAGCTCTTGCGCTGCGAGCAGCCTGCTCTGGCCGAGCTCTTGAGCCGCCGCAAGCTCGGCCTGAGCGGCCCTGAGCTTTCTCTGGCCGAGCTGTGCGGCCGAGCCGAGGTACCTGCGCGTCTGAAGGTACATCTCTGATCACCACGACCACTTGCCGCCCGACCCTCGAGCCCTCCGCCAACGGCACCAGAAAGAGAAGACAGCGCGATTTGAGCCGATCATCCGGCTGCTGGTGCGCTTCTTAGCTCCCCGGCCCTGGATGTGAGGTTGATGACTGCACTCCAAGTGCTCCAAGTGCTCCAGCATGCTGCGAACGCGCACCCCCGGGGCTAGGGCTCTCTAGCCCGTAACCCGATACCGATCATCCGGCTCGCTTGGTGCGCTTCTTATTAGCTCCCCGGCCCTGGATGCGAGGTTGATAACTGCACTCCAAGTGCTCCAAGTGCATCAATCTTCGGAATAAGCTGAAAATAACGCACGGGCCCTCAGCGGAGCTGGGAAGAGGACCGCCGCAAGCGGCGTGGCGTGGGTCGGTTGCCTACTGTCTGAATACGTTTTCCACGTATTCCAAATGACCTCCCAGAGGCCTGTATTCTGCCGTATTCCACCCGTATTCCACGTATTCCATGGAATACGCCGTATTCCAAGCTCCCAAAATGGACGTATTCCGTATAAAATTTTCTTCGCTCCGCGAATTCAGACAGTAGGGTCGGTTGTGCATCCCTCTGGGGGCCCCTCTGGCTCTGCGCCGGGGAGGCGTTGTTGGAGGCTAGGACGCAAGCGTCCGTCGCCTTTTTCAAACTCGGGGCCCACTCCGCTACGCTCCGACCCGAATTTGGAGGGCCTGAAAAGTTTAAGGTGTTGCTGCGCAAAAGGGTGGGGAGCCGCGGCGGCGCCGCAGGCGCGGGCGCGCAGTGGAAGCACGCTAGCCATACATTCACGCAGAGAAGCTGACTGACGGTCGGGGTCGTGACGGCTCGAGGGTGCGCACACTAGCGGCCGGACGCCTCACCCGCGGACGCCTCACCCGCACGCGCACCCTCCAACATCGCCGCCGAGCCCAACGCCCTGCCGTCAATCTCGACGAGCGCCGCACACCTGCGCGGACAGTGTTGCCGCCTTGTGCCCGGAAAGCCTCGAGCCGGCGCGCACCGGTGGCAGCGCAGGATGAGGCGGCAGCAGTGGAGGGTTGGGGCGCATTTGAAGGCGCTGGCCCCGACGCGCCATTAACTGGGTCGGGTGGTTCCTCACCCCTCTGGTTTCAGTCAAGCGGGAAGAGTCTGTGCAAGGGGGGCGGATGGGGCTGGCTGCGTCACCTTGGAGCATGAAAGGTTCCTACAGTAAGGCTACTCGAGTACGCAGCACCTTGGCTTGGCCCCCGAGCGGGGAGGCGGTCGACGACGCGCAGCATGGCGGTGAGCGCAGCCTGACGACGCGTCTTGATGGACGGATCCTTCTGCCGGCTGACCAATTCCGCCCACCTCTTGACCCGCGGCTTCGTCACCAACATGCGCTCGAGAGGCGGAGCAGCCTCGATGCGATCCAGTTCGGTAGCTATCTTGTCGCGCAGCGCATTGTCAAAAGGCAGCTTGTTACAGGCGTCGCGCGCGTCCCCGAGGTCACGCAGGAGGCTCTCCATATGTGTTGCAATAGCCCCCGGCTGTGGTTGCTGCAGTGCTCCCGTAAAACCAGCGATGTCTTGGCACGAGCTGAAAGCTTGCCCCCGTCCACGGCCGAGATCACATGGTTTCTGCACGGTATTCGGATTTTGCTATTTGTTCGTGTGGGGGTATATTGCAGATTTGTCAATGGTACCGCGTCTGCGACGCGGGCGCCTTGCGGGCAGAGCCCTTAGCCACCCTTTATATCTTGCGCGGTCAAAAGGAAGGAAAGGGGTTAATCGGGTTACTAATCAGAGACACCCTTCGGAGTCGCTCCTCATCGCAAATCCTGTCAGCAGTCCACCTTCTCTTTCGCGAGAAACACCGAAAAAACCTCTCGGGTAGGGACTATGAGCTATGTTCGGAAGAGCCACATACATGTACAACTGAGAGAGAGAGTTAGTTAGTTAGTTAGTTAGGAAGGTGAAGAACAGCCAGGCTCGGACTGGACACCAAGCGGTATGGTGGACGCTAGACTGAGACGACGGTAGTTGGACGGACGGAAAAACACCCCCCTTTTATGCCTGACCCTGGGCATGGCCTCTCTGGGGGTGAGCTGGGTCGGCCACGTCCGGGTCTGCAACTCGCACAGTGGGTCCGCGTCCGGGCGAGCATCCGAGGCCCGCGGTTGTCCTCTCCCTGGGCGCGACCGCCATGGAGATCCACTGCACACAGATCAGTGTTTTTGGCGACTATTGCTCGCTCTCTGTGCAATCGCAACGCCAGAGGCCGTGCTTGGAGAATGTGTCGCAATGCTGCTGCGTCAGTGGATTGAGCCGCGGCGCAGGCTCCATCGGTGAGCTGCGGCGGCGCGCCGGCCGCTTCATGCATAGCTCTCCGGCGAGCGTCCGCGAACGCGTTTTCCGTCCGCCCGTTTCATCGAGTTTGCCCGAGTGGTAAAATCCAATCGAATCTGCCCGAGTGGTAAAGTGCAACTTTGGCATTTGGTAAAAGCTGCCCGAGTGGTCTGTGGGGAAAAAACCAAAGCGCAAGGGTGGCCCCAACAGCTAAAGGTCAACATCCCCTCCGGCTACGACAATGCGAACCTGATCTGTTCCTCACGGGACACGGGGTTGACCCGTCTCCTCCAGATCGAGACGGACTTCATGAACGGCCGAGCAATATTTCTTCATTACTATTAATTGATGCTTTTTGCACGGCTGAGCCCTCCCCCCCCCCCCCCCGCGCCCATTTCCCAGGCCGTCATCGCATTTCGCCTTCCTGGGGACCCAGCGCTGACTTTCTGACTGGCCGTTGCTGTCTCTCCCCCTTCTCGACTGTCTGTGCTTGTGCGTCTT